ATGAGTTGTGTGGTTTGATGATGAGGGGCCCGAAATGTTGATGCCATATTGCTGGAGTGATGTAGGTGTGGAGTGCTGTGAGGATATAGGCCTCAATCAACAGGGCCCGGAGGATAATTCTCTTTGTGGCTTGTTCCTGTATGTATAAATCCTTAGCAGTGAAGGATACAATGCAATTGTTCTCCTTGGCTAATTAGTTGACAGAGATGAGAATATTGGAAAGGCGAGGTGATCTAAGAAGAGAGTTTAGGTAGAGCTTACTGGATGGTGTGTAGTGTGCCATTACCTGTATGTGTGATGTTGAATGTTTGGCCATTGCCTACTGTTATTTGATCTGTTTCTGAGTATGGGACAGGGTTCTGCAGGTTTTTCAAGCGGGGGTGATGTGTGCTGATGCTCCTGAGTCCATATCCTAGTTCTGGGTGGTTGATGTTGTGTAAGATGTTAATGCAGTGGGTTGTCTGTTGGTTTGTATTGGAGGTTGGTTTGATATTAGCATTGTGTTGCTGAGTGCCTTAATTTTAGGCATATTTGGCATGTGATGGTGCTTTTGTTTTTGTTGGAGGTATTTTTTTTGTTTCATTTTGGATTTTGTGTGCAGTTGGTTTGACGATTTTGGTGGTACGAGTTTCTATTTTTGGTAGTATTTAGTGCTATGGGTGGGTTATGTTTGACATTTTATGTGGCCATGTTCTTCGCCTCACTATATAGTAGTGAGTAGAAGTTATCAATGCTTATTGGGTTCTGTTGAGTTCTAATGATTGTTTTGAAGAAGTTTATGAAGGTAGGCCCATTCAGGATATACACTAGTTTGAATCCTGCATAAGCTATATTGTCGACTAGAGACTAGAGTTTTGATTGTGATCAGATATTGTGAAATTGTGTTGGAGCCCGTGGTGAGATTGTGGAGTTCATTTTTTAGTTTTATGACTCTAGATCTGACATTGTTTCTAGTGTTGTCCGGATGGTTGAGGTGTTTTGCAGGTGGAGAACATATGAGAGAATTGAATTGAATTGGAAATGGTTGATAGGATTGCAGATACTAAGTTCTGGTCTATTAGTTTCTAGTGCAAGTAATTTGGGTTTGGCTTCTGTAATCCAGATTCTGTGATGTGAGTTTGAGGAGGATATGGGTTGGCTCCATCGAGAAAAGCTTTAAATTCGGTTGTGGTAAGTAGTTTTTAAATCTGTGATTTTCATATCTGATAATTCTCACTTGTGAGTGGAGATACTGCTATATTTTTGATGTTTCATCATGAATTTGAGGGAAAAAGGGATGCTAGTTTCAGTCATCCTTGCAAGGGAGAAGCTTGTTTGCTGGTTGTTCTGAACAAGAGAAGATGAAGTAGAATCCTTGGTGAAAAAGAGAAGAGCTGTTAAGCTGAAGGCTCTGACACCATAAAGCATAATATAATTTGAATATAGAGAGGGCAAGTGACGAGGTTGCTGGCAAGGAGCCGGCTAAACCGCCCCAGGCAAAGTTCGGCCGGACCGGCCTATCACATTAAAGGCGAGAAGTTCCTATCCCAATCCCGCCCCAACTATTCTCCACCGCCACTGAAACCTCCCCTTGCCTTTCATGGTTGCCTCCCAAGGGGAGAACCTTTCCCTTCCTATTTTTTCGACTAGTCATTATATGTGTTGCTTTATTCTTTTTTAGGTTATGTGTGTTTTTGTGTTTCTGTTTTTGATTCCTGTGTGGAGTTGTTTTCTCTTTTCTAGTGTTGTATCCAAGAAGGTGGCAGTGCTTCGGCTATATCCTACTTCGAGATGGCGTTTTATCTTCTCTTTAACCTTACCTAACACCCTTTTCCTCCCCTCTCCTCCGCCGCTAGCCTCCCCATACTTCATCCCAACGCCTAGCCACTCTTCCTAAACAACCCAACCTTGTTGTCCAACTTCCTAAATTTCCTCTCAGCACTCAGCCGACCTTTTCCAGCGGCCTACCCTGCTGTCCAGATCCCTTTCCAGATTGCCGAATCCCTTCCACCGAATTTCTACTTGCTGTTCACTCCGCCAGACACTTCGTACTTCAGGCCGCCCACATTACTGCCCTTAGCTGGACTGTCTCAGCCCTTCGGACTACCTACCAGTCCCTGACAATCCTTTTATTGCATCCACTCTCGCTGTCCAGCCCACCTACCGGACCCCAAACCCCTTCCTAACCGGCCTCACAACCGCCAACTCTCCCCCATACCCCGATTACGTTGCTGACTCAACTCCCGCTCTCGGATCTACTCTTCCAGCCTTAGCCGTAGATTGCTCTATCGTTTTTTTTTTACTTTTCCATTGCATTGTGTTGTAACCCTATTTTTATATCAATAAAAGTTTGCTTTTGTGTTCCGCTAAATCCTAACTAGTTATCATTTGGTACCAGAATAACCCTAATCATATCATGGGGTTTTCTAGCATCTGCCCCTACCCAATCCACCTCCCCCTAAAATTTTTTTCTTATCTATTCCTAAACCATATCCCCAAATTGACCTAATCTCAGATTCCTCTATTGATTTTCAAAATCAGCAACCTCACATTAGTTTCCTACACCTTCCATGAGTCTCCTACCTCCCCTTTTACCTCTTGACCCTAAATCTTAGTCTTGTCACCAAAGAGATACATGCTCGAACCTACCCAGAAAGAGATACAACGGGAGAACCTACAGCGCAGAGTGACAGAAATTGAGGATGACATCCAAGTGGGACTTACCCTTAATGGTGATAGGGAAAGCCGAAGAGGATAAATGGACGATAATTTCAATCCCTTCCGTAGGGTGATTTTCAGTGGTGAAGAAGAAAGGCCACAACACTTGGGAATCCAACATTAGAGGAGGCTGAGGGGGAAGTTTACATATGAAGAACGAGAGAATCTGAAAATGAAGCGGGAGACGCAATATCAGTTCCTACCAGCTCACTACACACATAGGGTGCAAATTCTAGCTTCAGAAGTGGAGAGATCACATCATCAAACGACCCACATTCATCTTACAGACAGAGTTTAACCTCATAATCTTATAGCCCAAGTATGCCCAGGAGAACACCAAAGGTGACCACGTTAGAGGAAAGATTGATTTTGAGTAGTGAGCATGTGAAACCAATACACATCCATAATCTGTCGCAACAGGAAGTGTTGCAAGTGACACGGATTTGGGTATGCTAAATCAGAATGCACAACTAGGGGGTGATTTGTTTCACCGAGCACGATGTTGAAATGTTGGGCAATGAAACAGTTGATTTGAGAGAAGATGACTTTAAATAAGATTCTTCTCTTGCAGCCAACAAGGAAAAGACGTCACCAATTCAAGTTGACCCTTGGATAAATTCTAGCTAAGGTAACAATAGTTGTTCCAAAAATTAGTGACTCTGATGTATTGGGTGGGCTGACAGAATACGAGCGGAGGGTGCCTCGAGCTAGCATCTTGCAGGCATTGAGAGGAGCACCAGCAGGACCTCTTCTGAGTGGGTGCTAGTGAGAGGGGAGCAGCTTGCCACAAATTTCACCCCTGAGTTGATTTCTTCTGACATACTAGTTCATCAGCCGCACTCAACCGATTTAGAGTGGGAGAAGCAAGTTACAACTGAAATGAATCGATACATGAATTGTGAAAATACTCGTTTATATATTGTTTCAGCTCAGAGCGTGCCAAAAGTGGACGGATGCCTGTTCTACCATAATGCTCTTTGGAGCGACAACGCTTATTTGATCAACTTACAAATATATTTGAAGCCGTGCGGGAAGGTTTAGGCTACTCTCACTGCACACCAGACTGAACGACGGTGGGTTAATTTGGGAAGATTCAACAGTACCGGCGTGGCCACAATCTCAAGAGAGCTGATTGATATGGAAGTGTGCTCGGAAGAAAACTCCGGTTCTTTGGGAGGCAGTACAACCAATAGTGAGATCTAGGTGCCTCTATGAGTGAAGACGAGGAACCAAAAGTTTTGACAAATGAGGTCGTAGCTCCACCATCCCCCGGAGACTGACGCGAGTGCTGGCATGGGGCCGACTAAATCGGCCCTGTCAATGGTCGGCTAAACCTGTTTAGGCAAGGGCAGACTGGACCGACCTATCACATTAAAGGTGAGAGACGCCTATCCCAATCTCAGCTGGCCTTTTCCAGCCTGTCGAATCCCTTTCCCTGCATTTCTACTTGTTGTCCACTTCACCAGACTATCCCCACTTCAGGCCGCCCTCGTTACTGCCCTCAGATGAGCTGTCTCAGCCCTCAAGACTACCTACCAGCCCTCGACAACTCTTTTACTGAAGCCACTCTCTTTGTCCAGCCCACCTACTGGACCCCAAACCCCTTCATAACTGATCTCGCATCCACCGACTCTCCCCCAACCCTCACTATGTTGTCGATGCCACCCCCGCTCTCGAATCTACTGGTCCAACCCTAGGCGGAGATTGGTCTGTCATTGTTTTTTCCTTTCCATTGTGTCGTGTGGTATCCCTATTTCTTTATTAATAAATGTTTGCTTTTTGTGTTCCACTAAATCCTAACTAGTTCTGGTATCAGCAAGTATGTATTGTTATTCATATATAATCCCAGCTCGTTTACATGTCTTTATATAGTTGAGCTTAGGATAATATAATAAATGTTCTCTTGGTGAAGGTTCCGGACATGAGTGTTCCTTGGCTTAAGTTTGTTATGCCTTAGAGTCTTCTGTTGAGAGCCTGTTTGGGCCTATATAAGGGATGTTATGATTTCGGGCTTTGATTTCGTTTGGCATAATTAATCCTTGCACATGATTATGGGCTCTGCGAAGTGTTCAATCTACACTTCCCGTCATGATCTATGGAGTTTTACGCCAGCCATTTTGTTTGCGGCTAACTTGAAATGAACTTATACCTAATAAAAGACTACTGTTTTGACATTTTGACTTTTATGTGAGGTTTTCTATTATTTTTCCTTTCTTTTTATTTTTGATATGTTGTTAAGACATTGAAGCATTGTTCAATCAGTCTAAGAGCTCTTTTTATTGTTTTATTTTTTCTTTTTGTAGGAAAATCAATTGGGAGAGCAGGGTTTGCATATGATTCTTCATTGCAAATCCTACAGGAAAGAAGTCAAAGATTGCTGGAAAGTCATTTGTAAGTCTTCATTCTACTCAGTGGACTCATTCAGTTCGAGGGTTCTTTCCATGCATGCTTTCTTTTTGACCTTATTGCATTTGTGCTTGTTCTAGTCTTCTGACCTTTCTTATTACCTTTGATATGAATTTATGATTATATGTGCTACATTTAAGAATAAATTGCTTAACTGGGCTAGCTTTATGCCATCCGAGTTGAACGGCTATATGCTATTATGGAGGTTTTCTAAAAATTATTAGGGGTAAGTATAAAAATAAAAAAGCCTGAACTTGCTGACCCAATCCATACTGAACTGGATTTGATGAAAATTAAAACCGATTATTTTGGCGGATGTTCTTCCGGAACCCAAAAAAAAAAACTGTTTTGTTTATTTTGCTATTATAAAAATTTATTAAAAATCAAATCAATTTTTTACTTGTATTTGGAATTTTGAGAATGTATGATGTGTCTTATAAATTGAATTTGTCTGCCCTATATGAAATTGTTGATATTCATAAATGCTCTGCTTTTTGGTATATTTGGATTTAATTGATATTTGGCGTGCCTCATTTGTTTCAACCTTCATCTTGGATTGCTTTTAGAAGAATAAATTTATGCAATATAACATATGCTTCTTGTCGTTAATCTAAAAGTGAGATATACTTGTAAAATTGGTTTTATTTTTTGTTAACGCAGAAGCAAGCTAACAACGTAGCACATCTATAATTCCAAAGTTAGTTAATTTTAACTGCACAATGCAAAATTTATGTTCTGTACGGGTGGCCTAAGAGTGGTTGTTGTTTGTTCACTTGTTAGTAGGACTGTTATTTTAATTAGACTGGAATCTGATGCATTTTGGTAGTATTTGAAATTATGATAAATGTATCTGCTTACTTATAAAAGGAAGAGTCATAGTTATGCTAATGGAACCAAGAACGAAGTTTTTAGCTGATATGACGCATTCCAATATGTACTTTAGGTGATAATTCAAATGGTAAAATGAAATTAACCTTATATTATATAGTTCTTGTTATTTAGTATCTTTTAATCGTGTAGTCAGTCTTATATGAATTTAATGCTGGAGTTTATAAATTTCTTCTACCGCTAATGCTTTACTAATTATTTATGGTTTAAAAAATTGAAGCTGATCAAAACCGACTTAAACCCCTTAAGCCTAAACATTGGTTTTATAGTAACATAAGACAATTTGGTTTATGGTTTGAGAACTGATATTGTTAGTTTAGTTCGGCAAATTAGTAAAACTAAATCAAACTGAACCTTCATTACCCCTACGAATTATCATAGCTTTAGGAATTGGCAGCCGAAAGTAATGCTAATGATGGCAGTCACTTGATTCACAAATGAATGCCAAATGACATCATTGAGGTGAAGTAGATGGTTCCACAAGTCTAATGGCATAATTAACAATGTCTTTCTCTTGCAATTTTTGTTTTATTTGTTACAAATACGAAATTTGTTTTCTTTTTTACATTGGTTTTCTTTTTGGCTCATTATTTTAATTTCTTGTTACTATTTGTAGATTTTTCTTGTTTAGGATGACGGGCTGCTGCTAGAATGTTTAATTAAAATATTATCCAACTACTTGAAAATTTAAGGAGTTTTTTTTACAAATCAGTCACTTTATATGACAGATTTTGAGAGGCAATTTTTTTCCTGGTCTACTTTTTTTGATGCCGAGTTACTTAGTTACACGTGTTGTTTATGATGATGTCAATTGCAGCCGCAGCTCTTCCTTGGAGGCCACCAGTAAATACATTTTTTCGAGCTCATATTTTATTCGAGAGAAGTGAGGAGCGCAAATGGGAACCTGAAGAGCTTGAACTTATCAAGAGGTTGTCCAAAGGCTATATATGTTTTTTTATGGTTTCCTCCTGGAAAAATTTTATACTAAATGTATTATCTAACTTGTGATCTAAATTGCATCCTCATGTAATGTTGACAAGTTCTCTAGAAATGACTAATTTTCCTTTGGACTTCCTTTTGATTTTCCATGAAATGTGCGGCTAGGAACATGATGGTTGTTTCTCCAAAAACTTACCAAACAAATTTTTGCCAATAAGTATTTGAGAAATCTAGAATACATTAAAAACTTGATAAAACGGGGATTGTTTGATGAATTGAGCGTTTAAATTGTGAACATCAAACTCTAAATCCTAATAAAATAGAAATATAAAGCAATTAGGTATTGAAACTAAACCTAGTTTATTATTTTCATCATCATTTTGTCCGATCTAGCTGAGGTCAGCTCTAGATTTTCTTGTCTATTCATCTATCATTTACAATGCACTAATTTTTTTTTATGCCGTAGGAGACTCAAATCACAATAGAAATATAAATATTATTGCTGAAATTTAAAAAAAAAAAATTACAATGACAACGCTTCAATTTGAAAAATAAACCACAAACAAACATATTATGCCCAATGGCAAAGAAGAGTGTGACACTGTCTGCGGGACCGTAGGCAAGGACTAGTTGGGGTGTGGGGACAACATGCATAGTCGGTAGGGGCTGAGGTTGCTGCAGGTGGAAGAAGGGCAGCTATGGTGTAGGTTGGCTGCAGGTGGAAGGAAGGGGGTGCTGTGTGGTGGGGTTTGCACGAGATAGGCCATGGGTAGATGAATTTGTGGCCCAGCAGGAAAGTAGGGAGGGAAGGGAAAAGGCCCACGGTAGCCTATTGGATAAGACGATGGGTGGGAAGCCAGTCACAGGAGATGGCAGGTTAAGGGAAATAGGAAGGGTCGGTTCGGTTTGACGGGAGAGGAAGATCGGTTGGGTCTCACGGGGAGAGGAAGGATCGGTTGGGCTGCGGGAGAGGAAAGCAAGGATGCGGTTGTTTTACGGGAGAGAAAATCAAGGCTGCGGCTGTTTCACGTTGGAGGAAGGAGATCAAGTCGGGGATTGCATCGGAGAAGGTTGCAACAACCAGCGGCTGAGACAACGAAGTTGCAGGAAAACCTATAGGCGGCCTGGAGGGGAGGTGGATGTCGGAGAATATAAATTACCACCGGGGAGAGGGATACAGCCGGAGCACCACCCTAATCTTCGGATACAACCCTCGAGCGAAAACTAGGAAGCCGGCGGCTATCCTCACAAATCTGAAATTAGAAATAACATAAACTGCTTTCCTAAGACCTAGCACCCCCTCTCAACTGACCGATTCAGGTCAAACCAATTCAGCTTTTAGAGGACAATCCCATGTCTTTTTCTTTATAATCCTTCAATGTCAATTTAATATACTTGTCTTATTTGTGCATCATGCATCATACATTCAAAATACTCAAACTACTCATTTTTGTTTTTATTATATTATCTTAATACATATTTCCATCTTATTTGACTATATTTTTCATATTTTATTTTCTTGCTTTGCTACACACCTATCATAACATTCTCATCCTTGTTACACTTAACTTGGCCATCACTAACATCTTTATAGCCTGACAATTGGCGCAATATAATAGAGCTAGTTTAATTATATTTTTTAAACATTTATTTTCTTAGCTTTTCATAATTTTCTTTTATTGCATGGCGCTCATGTGGCATTTGTCCATTTTTTTACCCATTTTTAAACTCTAAAAGCTGTAGTATTATACATGTTTTAATCTTCTATATAAGGGTTCATATTTAAACCCATCATCCTTATGTATTATTTAATCTTTTAGTAAATTTGACTCATAATTATCAATTTCAGAGAATTAATTTTAATCATACTTATGTATTATTTAATTTTTTAGTAAAATTAACTCATAATTATCAATTTCAGAACACTAATTATAATCATTTTCTTAATATTTTAAGCTATTCACTAATTTCAAAAGAGTCTTAACAATTAGAATTAGCTTTTGTAAGCATCTCCGTAACAAACATTTGCAAACTTAATGATGATCCGTGATATGATTCCATTATGATTTAAAACTTTATGGTCATGCCCCGTTACTTCCTCTAGTCTCAGTCATTGCTCAATCATATGTATCTTTAATACCTTTGATATACTTTCTGAAGATCAATAAAACCCAAATATCAAATTTTTTGCTTTTTATATTTCTATTGATTGCATTAGCTGGACAAGTTTCTTTTTTGTGATCTTTTTTACATAAAATCGAATTGATTACTTTATGAATCATGAGGTTGATTCCTTTGTAATTATCTTGATTCTTAGCATCCTATTTGTTTTTAAATGTCAGTATTAAAACATTTCTTCTCCAACTTTTATGGTCATCTTTTTAATTGAGCTAGTCGTTTATTTTAACTAATTTTACTTCTCTATAAGTTGAAGATTAACAAATTCACACCTTCCAAATTCCACTTGCTACCTTGGGGATTTGTTTCTTTCAATTGTCAGTTTTTATACCTCTTTGCTATATATTTATCAATTTTGTTTTATATTATGTGGTTAACTTTTTTTGATAATCTTTGTAAACAGTACTTTAAACCTTTGATTTGGAGATCAAAGGCAACAAGGCTTATCTAAGTGGTTGGTGTTTTACCAAAAAAAAAAATAAATTATTTAAATAAGTTCATAATAATTTGGTTGCTTCACATTTTGATAAGTTCTCTCCGCTCGTTGTTTTAAATTTGTGCTCATTATTATTATGACATCGTATGCCTTCTATTAAAACAACTTATTGTCTTCTCTTTTTGTTTAAAATATATGTTTGCTATTGCTTGATCATGTGTTGCAAAATCAAATAAGTTTTCTATTGCATATTATCTTTTATAAGTTGCTCGTTTCATAAATTCTCCTAATAGAACCTTTATATCCATTTAATGCACAACTAATTCATAAACTCTTCCTAATTTCTTTCTTCTCTTCAAAAATTAGTTTTTAATACTATTTTCAATCTAAGCTGGGGGGCTTGCCCATGAGCCACATTTATAATGTCTATGATCAATGTATTAATGATGCCTTTAACTACTCTATTCATCTCATGAACTTCATCTTTCAAATTTTTATCTATACACCTTATCCTTTTTTTATTTTTAATCTTCTTGATGTATAAAAATCATACAACCTTCCATTTTTTAGCATCTTAAAAATTTTCCCCTTCCCATTTAGTCATTTGCAAACGTGTTACATTAATCAGTCTTTTTGACATGTCAACTATTTCTTTAGTCATACCATTCTGAAGTATCAAATTTCTGCTATTTCTAATCTAATTTGGATATAGTTAACCATTGTATATTTGTCAACAGAGGTAGGTCAAGTTATGGTGCTCTACTTGCAGGTGATATTCGTGACAATAATTTTAAATTTCTCTCCAAAATTATGTTAATTAGGCTTTAGTGCTATTAAAGGAGAATCTGTGTGCTTAGGAAAAGTTAGATGTTAAATCTTGTAGGATGGGCTCTTGGATCAAATTAGATCAAATTTATGTGAAAAAGCTTCAAGCTCTTACTGAATTCATTCTTTTAATATGGATGGATACAAGTTTGGTGATATATAAGAGATTATGGATAGTAATGAAATGAAATAGATAGTGATAAAGATTTATTTCTAATCTAACTTGGTTATAGTTAGCCATTACATGTTTGTCAACAGAAGTAGGTCAAGTTATGGTGCACTACTTTCAGGTAATATTTTTGTCAATACTTTTAAATTTCTCTCCAAAATTATGTTAATTAGGCTTTAGTTTTATTAAAGGAGAATCCGGGTGCTTAGGAAAGGTTAGATGTAAAATCTTGTAGGATGGTCTCTTGGAACAAGTTAGATCAAATTTATGTGAAAAGGCATCGTGTTTTTGCTGAATTCATTCTTTTTTTAATGGATGGATACAAGTTTAGTGATCTATAAGAGATTATGGATGGTAATGAAATGAAATAGATAGTGCTAAAGATTCTTTTGTTCTTTGTTCACCATGCTAAAAACTTTTGATTAATTGTACTTATTGCTGTGTAAAATTTTTTGAACTTTGAATACAATAATACTTGTTTTTTATGTAAAATAATATCATCTGAGGATTATTATTTAATAATATTAAAAATGTTTAACATTGTCATTGTAGAGTCCGAGTCTTAGATGTGAAAAGCGAAGGGGGATGCATTATGTAGTCAACAGTCAACGTAAAAATTTTATCGAAATATTATGATATTAATCCCTTTAAATCATTGTGTCAATGCTAGAGCGTCCTCTAGAATTGACGCATTGTACGACTTAAATATAGTGAAAAGTTTTCAAGTGCCGTTATACCGGCTCCCAAGTGTAGTGTTAAATAAGCAAGAACTCCCATATTATGGAAGGATCTGAGTAAATAAGTTAGTTAATATAACTAATATTATGATAGAAACTTAAAATATAGGCACTCTCACGGGTAAATTAATGAAATTAGGATATATTATGATTCATATGAAGAATGAAGATAAGTATCTTATGCATTCAAAAAATTAATTGGGAAAATGCTAAAGAGATTGATAGTTTAGGTTTTATATAAACTTTTGATACTAAGGCAAGAATGGTATTAAAAGTGTTGTGGGTGTAATTTTAGATAAGAGTTTGACAAATAATATTATAAAAATTAATAGAATTGAAGATAAAATTTTAGCTCTAAAGATTATTTTTGATACTAATATTCTTAATTTTATAAGTGCTTATGATCTCCTAGTTGGTTTGAACATGTATTTAATTTTTTTTAAATGATCTAGAAGAATTAATACAAATGATATCTCTTAAATAAAGAAATTTATTAAAGGAGATTTAGGGTTTGTTTGGAGCAACTGCAACTATTTGAAGAAACAACTGTAAAGCTGTTGCATTGCGGTGGTTGTTACCCCTTTTTTTCAAAAAGTCATACCATAATTCTTTAGCAGACACCACATAGGTTGCAAAACACAGATTTACACCAAAACTTTTTGAAAAAGCAGACAAAATATTGTTTTGCCAAACACAAAAAAATGTATTGTGAAATTGCACCGCCACCACACCATTGTCCTAAAAGCACTCGTAAATGAACATGTTATTAGAGTGATAGAAGATTTTAAAAGCATTCATGGTGACTATGATTTTGGAGTGACTCATGAATCAGGTAAAGCAATATTAGATTTTATTTTAGCTTATAATTTTATTATTGTTAATACTTTATCTAAGAAAAGAGATGATTATATTATTATTTATAAGAATGGATCTAATAAACACTAATTAATTATTTTATTATGAGAAAAATATGTCGTCGAGATTGTAAAAATTATAAGGTTATTCTAATTTAAAATTTAAGTACTCAACATCGATTATCGATTTTAGATTTTAAGATGAAGGGTTGGAAGATGAAAATATTATAAAATGTTATCATAAACATAGATGGGGGAACTTAAAAGATACAAATAAAATTATTTTTATGAATAAATTTAAAGATATTTGGTATGTTTATGAAAAATTTAATAACATGTTGGATAAAGTACTGAGTACAATTAAACAAGTTACAAAAGATGTATTTAGAAAATGAAAAGAAAAAATTCTTATAAATAAAAGTAATTGGTCGTAGAATAACGATGCATAAAAAGATAAAAATAAGAAGTTGTCATAAAAATTGGTTTAGATGTAAAAGTTCGGAGAATTGAAATAAATATTGGTGATTCATGAGGAGTCTTAAGAGAATACTTTGCAATTCTTAGAATTATGCTTTCAGTAATATTTAGTACTAATTAGATACTAATAAGAATGACACTTATATGTATAAACTATAAATTGGCTTCTCAGATATTTTAGACCAAGTCTTCACGATAAAGGTTCTTCATTCCTGAGATCTGTATGGTGGAAAAGATTCACTCAATTCATTCGAAGTAGCAATTCACCTTTGAGGCTACGGGTCACCTGTCTGGATGGTATCCATTTCTCAATTTCATCGAGTCGTTGTAACACTCGGGGGAGTTGTCGTTGTATCTCTTCCATGATAAACTTCTGATCGGCGTTTGACTATTGTCTCTCCAGTAGCATGATTAGGGTTTGGATTTGGGTTGGGGAAGAGGATGTATAAGGATGTAGGCAGTAGGTTGGCTGTGGCAAGTAAGGCTTGTGGAGAAGGCTAGTGGCTGCTGTGTGGAGAATGCAACAGGGAGGGTTGCATGGGAAGGATGATGAGATGAGGTTTGGGGCTGCAACAAGGAAGAAGTTAGGGAGGAAGGCTTCTGGTGGGGTTGACATATGGAAGCTATAGTAGGGAGGCTGACATCTTGGGTGGTGATGGTAGCGGTACTTGAGGTTGGAAGGATGGTTTGTGGAGACAGAAAATTGCAGCTGGGGGTGGGATTGCAGAGGGGAGATGGAGGGTGTTGCAGGGAAGGATAGGTTGAGGATAAATAGAGAGAGTCACCTTAGATGATTTGGTTACATTAAATGTAGATCGATCCTCTGATGACCCAATTAGGAGAGTAGATATTTTAGATTTGACTTATGTTAAGAAACGTAGAGGTAGGCCTAAAAAGACTTGGGCATATTGTATAAAAAATGATCTTAATTTATTAGAATTAAATGAAATTATGACACTTAATAGGACACAATGGAGAAGCGCTATTCATGTTGCCGACCCCACAGTGGGATAAAGGCTTGTTGTTGTTGTGCTGTTAAGAATCTTTCTTATTAATAAACTTAAGTTATAATATTTATCTTTTTTTTGGTGCCTCATTTCATTTGAGAAAACGTTTATGGTGGCACCTAGTGCCACATGTCTTAGGCAGTCATTCTAATGCTTTTGATATCACTGATGGCACATGGTTTATGATGACATGCTTTCATAACTATGACTATTTTTCATCACAATCAGGTTGGTCATTTTACGTTGTTTCTATGGAAGATTTGAAAAGTAGCAAAATTAGATTTGGACTAAATTTTTGGTATTGAATTTTTTGATTGATCGTTTACTTAATTTCAACTCTCATTCATTTTCATTATTTTTTTTAAACAACATGATGATTGTGACTCTATTAAAAGTTGCATGACAAGCATTTGTTAAGTTAAATAGATCCGTGACAAATTTTATTTATTTATTATTGTTATGAAAAGTGTGGACATAAATGTGGCATTTTTAGTAACATTGATTCTGTTCATGTACTTACTGTTTATAATTTTGAATATTTTGCAGCTTAGTTATTTGACTTGTTTTCTAACTTGTCACAATCTTTATTGTTTTATAATTGTTAAAATGTTGTATTTTTTTCTTTGACTGAACCAGTTGTAATATATAATAGATATCATGCAGAGCATGGTCCAAAATGGAGGAAATTGGCTGATGTTCTTGGGAAAAGTAGAGTTCATGTAAAAGATGCTTGGCGAAGAATAAGGCTTCCAAACCTAAAGAAAGGTATGCCATCTTGTTGAACAACTATGTGTGTTGAGATGCTGTTTCTGTTTATTTAGCAATTTTGGCTTTATGAGAACTTTAAGTTAACCTCATAGTTCTCCAAATTTTCAATTTCTGTACTTTTTATAAATCCATGCTGCCATGCACTAAATTAATCACACAGTGTTTCTTCTCCCAAAGCATACAATTGCATAAGTTTTTGAAGCACTAGCTATTCCGAAGCTGTAATAGATGTGAATAAGGACATTAGAGTTTATGATCAAAGCGAGAACTGAGGCTATTGAAATCACTAGAGAAAAAAGATGAATAAATAAGTGAAAAAAAAGAGGCAAACAAACAAAGAAAAAGACAGGATAAAGAGAAGGTAAAAAAGAAAAGGGCCTTTTACTTGCAATCCTAACTTTGAGGCCATGACAATAGGCTTTTCTATTTCAAGTTGCAATTTAAGAATGTGGGAAAAATGTAAGTAAATGTGGATATGGTACTTGAGATGGCAGGGTGTAACAACCAATCCTAAGGATCATCTTGACATGATGCGAGGCATTCATTTGGCATTTATGGTTTCATTTTTTCTTTCTTTTTTTATTTTTTTGATTATTTAGAATAAGTTAGATTTTTTTTTCATGGTTCATTCATCCATTTTTTTTATTGCAGAAGTGCATCTAAGTTATATCAAGGAGGTTCATATTACTCCAAAACGGCAATATTCATCCCACCATTTTAAGTTAATTTTTTGTTCCATGGTTTAATTCCATGTTTTCTTCATCATTTTTGTAGTTTTAGGAATCAATTTAGGCCATTTTTGTTCCTTAGTGATCATTGTATTTTTACAAAATGTTGTAGTACAATGACTTAAACACTCTACTTTTGTCCTGGTATTTTAACTGAGCTTCACTGCCTTCTTGGATTAGCAGATGATGAAAAAGTCTGGTATTTTAACTGAACTTCACTGCCTTCTTGGATTAACAGATGATGAAAAAGTCTACTGGTCTATTTTTGGCATGAGGTTGGTGGGTGTGTGCATATGGGAAAATCTATACCCACAATATAGGTAACCATGCTTTATGGTGATGATCGGTTATCTTCTTTCATCAAGAATTGTTTGTCTTTAGTTTGTAAAGATTTCTTAGCTATTTTCTATACTTAGATAACCATGGGATGAAGACACCTTGGCTCTATCGGGTCATTTTCAAACACCTATGAACTTGCGTTTTGAAATGCAACATCACATAGTTTGGAATTGCACTTCCATGTGGATATTAGATAAATACGAGTTAGTGCGCCCTTTCAGTGGATTTTCGAGTTGACTTGCATAAAAAAGAGTAGTATAGTTACTAATTAATCACGAGCCATTAAGAGGTTTATGGCCATCCATAAGCCTTTGGTTTCAACCTTTATGGTTATTAGCTACATGCGTGGTTGTGTTTGAATACATATGATTGAGTGAAAAAAATTGCGTGACTTAATATGGTGAATTTATGATTCTCTCTTCTTTTGGATTGATGTTTGCCTGTGTCAACTTCTTATGAACTTGGGTCATTTTTGAGTTGACTGAATGGATCGTTATTTGACCAGTTTGGTTGGAATTGATTGTTATTTGACCAGTTTGATTAGAGTAGTGACTGCTGTCTCTCTCATGGTCATCAATGTGGACCCATTTTCGATAAAACCACCCGAATTAGACCTACATTATATAGGTCATTACAATCTCGGAAAACTTTAGGGACCAACTACCATAACCAGCATCACATTGAGGACATTTTTCAAGAAGGATATTTGATTTGCTTGAACTTGAGGAATGACCAAGAGGTGAGGGTCAAATAAATCATAAGGAGATCTTGAAGATTTCCAAGAAAGATTTGATTTCCAATTTATTAGGACTTTGAATATAGATGTTTTGTTTTTGTATCCTTTTTGTTACTTTCTTTAAGACACTTTTAAATCTTATTTGTGCTTCTATCGTGGCAAGGAATAATTAAGCAAGTTTCTCCTTTCAGTCCATTCCTAAAACTATTCAGCCTTTCCTCCCCTCTATCCATGTTTTTCCTGTCATCTCTTCTCTAATGATTTGACAGTAGCCCAACATCTTCAGATGAGCCTATAGGAAGGTCATTGATATGTCTAAGTAGTTCTCTAATGATTGGAAAACAGCCCAGCACCCTTCAATAATCCTCTAGGAGGCCACCATCTGCCTTCTTGCTGCGTCCAACTGTTGGAATTGGTCTATTCAGGGTTGATGAGAGCCATAGGGACTGTTTTTTTCCTCTTGCAGAGAGCTTGGGCGCCATTTTGGATCACTTCTGATTTTGATACTTTGTTTTTTTATTTTTATATTATTTTGCTTATATTTTGATTTAATACAAAACATGTTTGATATGATAGGATATCGTTAGTGATTTTTAAAAACGCTAAAAATGAATTTTAGATGTTTTTAGTGTTTTTAAAAATAAATAAAATTAAAAAAAACTTGCAAAAATATACTAAACAAAATGTAAAAAAAAAAGAATAATACTAATAAAAGTGATCTTAAACGTGTCCTAAGAGTTCCAAGACCTGATGCTCTTGAGATTGAGATTATTTTGAACAATTTAAGGAGAATCTAGATAGATGGACTGTAAGAAAGAGTTTGACGAAACAACTTTGTTACAATAGGATTTGTTGTAATATTAAGTATTATGAGGTTGCATATGAGAAAAACCAATATCAAATCTACTGGAGATTGTGGTAGAATAAGAGGGGGCATAGCTTTAGATGGCTTGTAAAGTGGCTTTAAATTTGATAGAACAAAACAGATTAAGGATCCCTTTTTTTCTAAGGCTTTCTCTGGCTTAGGGTTGTCAAATAAGGATAAGCCAAGTATTAGCTTAAGGAAAGTTATTTAAACTTTAAAATTCTGTTGGGAGTAGTTTTAAAGTTGAAGCTTTTATGGATTTTATTGGCAAATCTTAAGAATTTAGAGCCCTATGGTTCTAAGATTTGAAGCGCATGAATCTTGTTACGAATTAGATAAACCAGGATGTGTCATCTCTGGCACTGCACTCCTTGTAATGGTTGATGACATTCATGATAGCGAATGTCGAATAGTGGGAGTCGGTGATGGTTCTGCTGAGTTGAGCAAGATGAGCCTATCAAACCTCCTATGCTTTATAAGCCTCATAGTGGCTAAGGGTTTGTTTGGGATCACTTTTATTTTCTATTTTTATTTTTACTTTTATTATAAAAAAAACATATTTGTATGATGCATTTATGTTATGTTTTTATGTTTTATTTTTAAAGATAAATTAGTTTGCTTTTAAAAACACCCAAAATTTTTAAAATTGTTTTAAATATTTTTAAAAACAGTTAAACATGGTATATCATACCAAACATATTTTGTTTTAAATCAAAACATAAATAAAACAAAATAAAAATAGAAAACCAAAAAGAACCCTAAGCCTTAAACTTGGTTAAATCTTTGAGACTTTAGCTAGTGGGCAGATTTGGATAGCTTAATCATTCCATAAGTCCAAACCAAACAAGTTGTAAGGGTAAGGTATCCATGTGGGAGAGAAAAAGTTAAATTGCATCAATCATGGTTATTGATCGAAAGAATGAAGACAGTTTTTCTTTTAATGTCATAAACATCAAGAAAGGTGAAAAATGTAATCTTGGAAAAGTTGTTAAATGGAACCTTGTAAATTTCTGTAGAAGACTAAATGATAAGAACCACCTTTGTGATAAAGTTAAACTTGAAGAGGGGGCTAAACTTATGTGCTTGATAAAGTGACGCCTCTTGCGCTCTTGCGCTCTTGATATATGGTAAAATAGACTTCTGGCCTGGAAAGATGAGACTAGTGGTTACTATCGCTAGCCATTTTATTGATACATTCTTGATGGCCTCCCAAAAAATATGGGGTAGTCAGAGAAGCATTTCTGAAAATAATTCCATATTCTCAAAGTTAAATTTTTAGAAAATAAGCTTATTGGTGACAAGCATGGGAGGGAGGGAATTTTTGGGGCAACATAAAGTTTTAGTTGTCATAAGAATGTCTAATTTTTAAAACAGAAACAGTTGGTGACTTTTACATACTGTGGTCTATGAACTATTTTATTTTTTTCTAGCCATTTAGTTACATAATATTGTCCATTGACTTGCTTTAAGTTATTGAAATTTTTGTTTTCTTTGCAAAATGTATTGGTACAGGGAGATGGAGTCAGTATGAATACCAGTCTTTGTTTGATCTTGTCAACCTGGACCTGCGGATGAAAGCATTTGAGGAAAAGAAAGCTAATCATTGCATGGTGTGTGTCACCTTTCTTACTGCAATAATGAATTTTTGGAGAATTTACATACATAAAACACAATTCTTATATATTTATGTCTCACATTAAACTTTCATCTTTACACACAATACTCAAATCTTCAATATCACATTAAACAAGCACTAATTACCACTTTTAAAACGGAAATACACCTTTTCATGTATAGGTTTAAGGCACCACGGTGGTATTCTTGTAAGTATGAAAGTTCAGGTGTGTGTTCTGTTGATACATTAGAATTGTGTGCTTTGTATGTAAATTTTCCTACTTTGGATTAAAAAGTGAGATTTCCACCCATTTGGTCGTTGTTTCAGTTGCAAGGCTCAGTTATTCATCATTTACATTTTTAGTTTTTATTCTCTGTTATGCTTGTAGCATCATTCTCTATTATGCTGACTGTCCATCTTTTTTGCAGCTGAAAGACAATATTTCCTGGGAAGCTATAAGTGATAAGATGTCTACCCGAGGATCACATACTTGCTGCTCGAAGTGGTTTGTGTCGATACTGTTTATGTTTAGGGGCATTTGCATACATAGCTCCTAATTCGTTTGAATTTACCTGTCTAACACCTAAACTTTGCTTTTTACAATTCTGCCACCCAAATCTTTCATATCACATAAAAAATACCAATATTTTAAATTTTTAATAGTAAAGTACACATTTTCATGAATATGTAAGGTGGCGGATATGTAAAGCTTTAAGCTTTAAGATGTTAGGTATGTAAGTACACAGGTATTGAGTGGTATGTATGTAAATCTTCCTTAAGTTTATCTTGCTATTACATAATTGGTTTTTCTAGTAAGCATGAGCAACCGCAAGGTAAATGTATTTTAGTGCATTTATTACAGCTGAATATTAACATCAGTGTTCATACAAGTTTATTGATTCAACCTCTCTTGCGGTTGTACATGCATTTCATATTTGAGCATGATGGTTTATTTCTGGATTTTACAGGTATTATAATTTGGCATCATCAATGGTCAAAGAAGGGAGTTGGAATAATCTTGATGATTACAAGCTGATTGAAGCGTAAGTGTTTCGGTCACAGAACTTAAAATGTGATCATAGAAGCTTTATCTGGTGTGGTTTCCTCATTCAAAGTAAACCTCCTTTTATGCCATGATTAGTAAAAAAATTGCCTACAAAAACCGAAAACTATAGGTTGCCTTATTTGCGTAGGGGTTATTTGGTTTGAAGAGTTTTTTGTATGAAATGTTTCAAATGCAAGTGTTTAGAAATGTTAGTATTTGATTTGATGAAAATAATTTCAAATTAAAATTTTAAGGAATTTCAAACTTGTATCATATACTTTTTTGTTTTTGTATTTCAAAGTGGGTCATTTTAGCTCTATCGTACGAGCCGTCGCTATTGCCACTCATTGTAGTTGTATGCCATTGTTACTGCCACTACTGTTGACAGGCATTGGATGTCGGCGTCAATTAAATTGATTTTTTGTTAGAAATTTCTAGTAAAGAGTCTGCTTTTGTGCTAATAGAATTATTGAAAAGTTATAAACTGATTAAAGAATATTCATATAACTTGATTGATCTTGAAAATCAATATAATTTAGTACCATTGGAATTGATGTGGTAGACATGTTTAGTAAAGGCATGACAATAGGAAAGCGGTTAAATTTCTTCTCTCCGCAAGTTTAGTATTTTGAATTTCTTCTTTCATTTTTACTCTATTCCTCTTTTCTTTATTTTGAGCTCATTAACTAACATCTAATATCTTTTGACATTTTAGCGGTGTTTGGTAGCATATTATTTATAAGATTTAAGAATGAATTTATCTTAAATCTGGCCAAACACCAAAATAAATAAATAAATTCAGTGTTCCGTTAAATCCAATTTTCTTGTATTCCGTCTTTCTCTTCCCGCATTCCGCCATGTTTACCATGTAAAACCGATTGCAAACCGGATTTATTCCGCCATCGCTAGCATGCGCTTCCTTCGTAGCATCTTTTTGAGAAATTTTATATATCGGATTTGATAAATCCTATTTAATGTAGAACTAAGTTGCAGCCAAACACTCCCTTTAATATATTTTGGCCTGAATTGTAGGCTCCAGAAAGCTGATGCTTGCTGCTTTGAGGACGTTGACTGGGACAATCTGCTTGCCCACCGGTATCTTATTTTTCTTCTTATTCAGCTCTTTCTACCTTTTCTTACTATTTTTTCATATTTCATATTTTTATTTTATTTTAGGAAGATTTTCTTACATCCACTAAATTCCTATGTATATGCATACCTAACACCTAAACTTCAATTTTTACATGTGTACCACCTTCCCTATGCATGAACAGATGTTTTGCACTTTTAAGAGTTAAAATGGTGATATTTTTGACATGATATGAAAGATTTGGGTGGTTTAAATTAAAAAAAACAAAGTTTAGCTGTTATATATGCAATTAAATAAAAGAATTATTGCTGGTTGATTTATTTAAAACTTGAAAAATTACTTTGATGTTGCCTGTTCCACGCTGTATTTTAAACACCATGGGGATTAAATAAAACAGGTCCGGGGAAATATGTCGGAAGAGGTGGCATGAAATGATTCGGCACCTTCATAATTTCTGGGCTTTGACATTTATTGAACAAGTTGATCTACTTTCAGCGCGATACTCTCCAGATATGATCCAATATAGGGAAATGGAGCAGAATAAGAACCACAATGTATAGGGAAAGCTTGTTATCCAATGAAGGGTGTCCTAATTTTGATGTATCTGGTTCTACTTGTTTGTTTTATGGGGGCAATTACATACATGCCACCCAATTTCTGTGTATTTACATATCTCCCAAATCTTTCATGACATATCAAAAATACCATCATTTTTATTTGCTTAGAAAATAGGTTTCAAGATAACAAAATGAAAACACATTGATTTGTTTCAAAATTGGCACATTTTAATCTCTTAAGATGGTGATAATGAGTGTGTTGAAATTATTTTAATATTGTAATTTTATATCTTATTGTGATGTAAAGCCTTTTATTTATTTAACCCTTATGTTTCATGTATTAATCTTTACAATTAAACTAAGGAAAGTAGTAATGTTTTATAAGCTATCTAACTTTGTGTAAGATGTTTTGGATTGTTTAAAACATACTTTTAAGATGATATTGAGTCCTCTATATATATCGTTAAAATGCACTTAATATATGATGTATCATGTTAGGTTCAAAAAGAAATTACCTCTCACTATGAGCATATTAGTTTTGATCTATTGATTAATGAAATTTTGTCCAAAAATATATAGGTTTTTAAAGGCTTTTTTGATAAGCTTATATCTCTTTTGAGATTTACGATGTTTAAGGCTTTTAGATAAGTAAATAAACTTTCATTCGAAGGTTTTTAACAATTTGAGAATTTTCTTAAAAATTATTCTCTTAAAGTTTAGTCGTCTGATTTTTTTAAGAGATTATTTCTTAAATTTTTTTTATAAATTTTAAATTCTTTTTCTTATTTTTTTGAATAATATGTATATTTTGAGGATCATACCCTTAAAGAATTCATATATTGTGGCTTTTAGTATTTTTATATTTTTGAAGAATTTGAAGAATTTGTGCCTTTTGAGTTTTTTTTTTTTTTTAAAATATGCAGGTTTTATTGCTTTAGCCTCTTGGTTTTTTATTTTTTTATTTTTTTTTTATATTTTCTATGTAGAGGCCATGCCAGCTATTTGTGCTCTTGGAATCCTTGTAGTAAGATCTTTGTTCAATGCCAACAATCTATTAAGACTATTTCATAGGCTTGCCTTATAGGAGTTATAGGTAAAGACCTTGTTTATGACTTGCACTAATGAGGTATTTTAGTGAGTAACCTTACCATTAGAGCTTTGTGTTGAAAGTCCCTCATAGGCAAGATTTCCAAGGATTATACAGGGTGAATTGTGATGTAAAAAGAAAACTTCATACATAATTTTTTTCCTTAAATATAAATCTTTATTTCTAGACAAAATATGCATTTTCTTAGAAAAAGTAATAATTTTTTTTTTGACTTGCTTTAGTGATGACATCTTGTAGGAGAGGGAAAATAAGTTAAGGTAGCACTTTTTATTCAATGATTTTAACATAGTCATTCATATTACTCTTAATCTTTTCTTCATTTAGATTAATGAATTATATGGTGTTCTTATAAATAATCAAATAAGTGACTTGGCATATCAAATGCTTAATATGCTCTTATTTGATTATATTGTTTTGTTGAGTTGGTTTAATTTTAGATTTTGTCTCCATCATTTGGATGTTTCAGTGGTCATGGCCAACTAGAGGTGCTTAAAATTTTGTATCTCAACTGTAATGCTAGTTTTGGATGTATCTAAAAGAATGACATTGAATGACTCATATTAATTATAATAATAAAGGATTCATTGATCTTTCAACTACTATTACATTTTTATTGGATATTTGTGCAATATGTTCAAGAATACAATTACATTTTGCTAGAGAATTGTTCAAATAGCTCTAAATGTGTATTGAGAACCTTATCTAAATTAATTTCTACTTTTATTTAGTAAGTAATTTTATCATAAAAGTAAACGATCTCTAGCTTCATCGAAGAATTGAAAAGTACATCATCCATGTACTATTGTCGCCTAGTCATCACTTAACTATCGCCATTAAACAATTATTCGCTACAGAAATTTAGCTTATTACCGACGGTCAAATACCGTCGGTAATAACGAATAAATTGCAAGAAATATATTTACCAACAGCTTAGCGACGACAAAATTGAGGTAGAAAAAAATGCTTCTCGGTAATGAAAATACCGACGGATTTAGAGACGGTTTACATTAACCGATAGGTTTCCGACGTTCCATAACCGTTCCTCTAGGTTCAAAAACTTCATATTTAATCATAGCTTAACCATCGGTTATATAAGCAGCACAAGTATTCATAGGAAAAGTGTTGCATGACAGTTAGAAAAGTGTTGCAGTTCCATCGATAAATGTCACTCAACCGTCAGTTAACTGTGAGAATTTACTGACAATTTTGTCTCTATCATATATGTAGTACTTTGTCCTGACGTTGCTTGTTTGATATACCGTCAAAAAATCGTAGACATACAATCAAGGGGTTGTAAAACCATAAAAAAACTGTAGCATAAAAAAAAAATTAAAGCCCTCTATCAATGCTACAATTTACACACCTACACAATAAAAATAATTCTCGCTAACAATAAAATGTTTAATACACAAACTATAAAAAAACCCCTACTCATCCTCCTATATCCTCTCCTCCTCCTCATCATCCCCACCGTCATCCTGCATTGACTCCTTCCCTTTCTACAATTCAGAACACGTCATTGCTTTGATCTTTGTCCTCATCTCCGATCTTAGGGAGGCAACTTGGCAACAACTTTACAACACATCTTCTCCTCTTATGAAGTGGAAGTGGATGCACCGGATGTGCTATAGGCATCATAGGTCTACGCCTGGGACCCCAAACTTTAGATAATGCCCTTTATCTTACCCTCCCTAAACCGTAAGAAAAAAGATAATCTTACCAACGTAAGTTTAAACCGCCGGTTTAACCGCTAATTTTAGCACTTTTTCATACAGTAATTGCTCAATCATCTCCTTCGGTCTATCACTCAGTCACCATTTCTTGATCATCATCTGTTGTAACCCATACATCACTATAATTATTGTTGGGCTGCCACCATTATCAAACTGTCATCATCCTACCACCAACGTTAAAACATCAACAATACTTAATTATGATCATGAGACCATCATCACTAGACTATGATCACCATATCATTTAAATATGATCACCCAATCACTAACTCCTGATTATATTTGTTAAACCTTTATTACTTGAATATGATCCCTTAACCATTATTTTTCGAATATGATTGCCTTACCTCCATAATCCAACCACCATTTCCTGATAATGCTCTCCTTACTATTGCCACCTAACTAAGGTTTTCCATTCTCTATTTCTCATCCATGATTGCGTAGCATCAATTACATAACTACAATCACTTCACTATCTATGCCAGTTTATACTCACATATCAAAAATAGGTAGACCTTCATCACACATATATGATCTCTCAACCACTGTTGCTTAATTATGGTCGCCCAACTCCCATTATCCAACTACAGTCACCCAATTATTTTAGCCCAAGTACGATCATCTGATTACAATCTGCTGATCTCCAGCTATTACTCGATTGGTTGCACGATCACCTTCATCTAACTATGATTGTCGAACTAACGACGATCAACTACCATCATCCAAAGATGAACATTTGATTAACAACGACTAACTTGTTGTCCGCTATCGATTGTAACTGCTATGCATGTTGTTGACAGACATCATTGTGTGCATAGCTGATGTCTTTCCTAGCTATGAGAAATAACATCGTCTCTAACGTATAATATAGATTATTAAATTCTTTTTAACTAAGTTATACTCTATAATTTTTCCTCAAAAAAAATTTTCACATTAAACTTCTGATTTCTTCTATAAAATCCTATTTTTATCTCTGCATGCGAAATATTTTTTAGTACATACAGAAAATGCCCGCAAGTCTCATTACCATTAACTACTGCACAATAGCCAGCATGGCTCAACAGAGTCCACAAATTCAAGAAAATATCAGCCCCCCTCCACACACAAAATCTCAGCCCGGCCTCCACCTTGCAGACGTGTCTCCGCTAACAACTCAAACAGGATACTCTTATCCAGTACCCCAACACGTGTCACAAATCTGCTGGACGCCCAAATGAGACCTTATCTCCCTCATTCCTCTTTAAGATCTCGCAGCCCTCCATACTCCACACGCTCGTTTCAGGCTTCATTTCAAAAGGAAACCAGAACTCAATTTTGTTTCTTCAAATCCAATAAGGAAGAGAAAACTATACAATGACTTCTGCTCAAGCTCTGCTCTCGTCAATGGAGGCCGGAAGGCAGCTCCTTGGTGGCAGGATACTGCAGTCTTCTTCTTCCTCTAAAAACATTGGTTCTCAGAGAAGGCCCTCTTTTGTAGTCAGAGCTTCTTCTTCTCCTCCTGCTCGGGTTAGTATATCACTTATCAAGCAATTCTCTCTCCTTCATTCCAAGGTTTCCCTTTTTTTAATTTTTTGCTTAAAAAACAAAGGAAAGTTGTGTATTAGAAATTATTCTTACTGGAATTGATGACAAATCAATACTGAAATACTGACCATCATGTTGTCCTCTCAGCAAGGAGCAGACCGGCAGCTATGGTTTGCTTCCAAACAATCTCTCTCCTACTTGGATGGAAGGTATATTAATTTTACATAACCTTCATTTTATCGGCATAAATGATTATTTATTTTTTCTTATTAATGAATATTAGCCATGTCTATTACTATGTACACCTTGCAGAATCAGTAAACTTTTAGTTATTTACAGCATCTGTGGCTTGTATCTTGTACAAAATATTCATAAACACCAAAGTCAAAAATCGGGGTCAAAATCAAAATACTAATGTTCAATCCCTGTTCACCACATGCAGCCTTCCCGGCGACTATGGGTTCGACCCATTGGGCCTTTCAGATCCAGAGGGTACTGGTGGGTTCATCGAGCCCAAATGGCTGGCTTATGGTGAGGTCATCAACGGTCGCTACGCCATGCTCGGTGCTGTTGGGGCCATCGCCCCAGAGATCCTCGGCAAACTGGGCCTCATCCCGCCTGAGACGGCCCTTCCCTGGTTCAAAACCGGCGTCATTCCTCCTGCGGGCACGTACGACTATTGGGCCGACCCATACACGCTATTCGTGTTTGAGATGGCTCTAATGGGCTTTGCCGAACACCGTCGGTTTCAGGACTGGGCCAACCCGGGCTCCATGGGGAAGCAGTACTTCCTTGGGCTGGAAAAGTTCTTGGGCGGATCGGGCGATCCGGCCTACCCAGGCGGCCCACTTTTCAACCCGCTGGGATTTGGGAAGGATGAGAAGTCTTTCAAAGAGTTGAAGCTGAAGGAGGTGAAGAATGGGAGGCTGGCCATGCTGGCTATATTGGGCTATTTTATACAGGGACTGGTGACTGGGGTGGGGCCCTTCCAGAATCTTCTGGATCATTTGGCTGACCCGGTCAACAATAATGTGTTGACCAGTCTTAAGTTCCACTAGTGAGAGTGAGAGAGAGGATCTGCTTTGATCTGCCTTGGTGTATTCTTGGGGGTTGAATGTGTAATATCATGTGTTTAATGGTGTTTTTGTATGATACTTAGTTTTCTGTTAGGTTATCCATGTTAAATTGATAGCTGAAAACATGTTAGAATCTAAAATTTGTGCTTAAACAAAAATATCAATGGTTTTAACATAATTTCTTAAATTAAAATAGGTGTATTTGCATATGTACCACATAATTCTTGTATATTTATATGTCTAATATCTTAACTTCAATGTTTACATGTAAAGCATTTAAATCTCTAATATCACTCAAAATATTATTATTATTTGTTTTTTTTAAGTAGTGTGTATAAATGATCATGTATAAATATATTAGCCAAAATTGTTTAATATATAAATATAAAAATATAAATCTTTGATGAATAAATGCATAAGAATTGTGTGTTATTTATGTAATTAAAATTTTCATTAAAAATATTATTACTTTTTTGGGAAATGGGTAAATTATCTTAACCTAATTCTAATTAGAATTAATGTGTAATAATTCTTATAATTTGATTTTAAATAAGTATTATATTTATAAAAAAATGATTTTATTATTTCACTCATTTTAAAATAAATTAAAATTTGGAAGTCTTTTTTTTTTCTTTATGAATATTAAATAAGGATGACAAACAAATTTACTTTTCTAGTAATAATATAATGCACAAAAATTTCACCACAATTTTGACTTAAAAACAACATGAAATTAGACATTTAAGAAAATACTTATGGGGTGGTGTGAGCTCCATTGTAGAAAACTTTTAATTGAAATGATACGTTTGACAAAACAACTTTAGCAAAATTGCAATTAACCAAATTCCAATCCAAACAATGAAAAAAAATGCACTTTAAAATATAATTAAAAATTTGTACAAATTGTGGCATTAATTTGCTCTCATTTAGACAATAATTTTAAACCAAAATTGTCACGTCACTAAAGTTTTTTAAAGGTTATTAAATTGGTTTCTATAGATTTAAATTATATTATGTAATTTCATGGTTGAATTTATAATCCTTCAATTTCATAAAATTTGTGATATATGTATTTTAAAGAAGGGTATTTTTTACTCTCTAATCAAAACCAACATTTGTATTTAGCTTGTGGGTAGGTCCCAGTTAAGCCCCATTAGGCTAACTTAGGGATCAGACATTTAATCAAGTTATTGGATGAGAATAGAATGTTTGGTAGAACCAGTTCAAGATTCAATTTTGAAGATTATAACATTAAAAAAAAATACTCATCTTTTCAAAAATAAATATAGGTCTTATGTTTAAGCATATTTAAGCTTTTTTCCTAAAGATTATATCAAGTTCATGCAAAATTCCAAATCTATGGCCTTTATTTAAATCTAAAACTAAAAGTATGTGGTGTTTTACATGTTTGAACATCTTCGGTTCATTGCCACATGGTTTTTCTCACAATAATAGAATGCTTACATCAAAAGCTTTTGATGTCTACATATCAATGATAACTATTATTTTTATCTGAAGGCAATACCCATCATTTCATGATAATTCTTGTCACCTGATGTTTATGCATCTCATCTCTAATGCCCAAGTTAAATTCATTGTACTCATTATTAGAAGCTCACTATCAGCATTTCGACAATATCTCTCTCTATCAAAACCTAACTTCAAATGCTCATAATTTGATGGCTGTAATCAATGATATCAATGCCTCTGTTCTTTACGCCTAGCTTTTGAAGTATTTTGTTGCATATCATTTGTCATCCGCCAGCATAACTAAGCAAGTCAACGAATGTTTGTCATTAGTTGTTCTCCCATAAATGAACATCCTCTTTAAAAATTAATTAATATAATCATCTTTAACACCTCAATTACTATGTTAGGATATAACCATTATAATCTAAGTGTTTAAATTATTGTAATATAATTGTTTAAAATTATGAAAAGGGAGAACAATTATAATTATCAAATTATATGTATACACTCTTCTTATTGGTATATATGTATGTGGATTTTCATATAAGCCAAAGATTTTAAAATTACCCTTATCATAACAAATATTCTTGTAGAGAAACAATTTGTGTTGTATGTAACAATTAACCTCCAATTTCTTGATCCTAGTTTGGTGTTGTATATAGGAAATAATTCATAGTTATTAACAAACATGTCATGACTTATGTTCAAGCTCCAGCTTTATAGCTCCTAAACAGTGAAATTTTGCTGGAGAATTTAGTTGATGCATTTTTATTGGACCATGTCTATCATATGAATGATTCTCAATTGAGATATTTTTTTTTTATGTGCGAGTCCAACCAACATGGGCTAATATGCTAAAAACTCATTTAATCTTATCTTTCTACTCGTCTACCTCAAATTAGAGATCATGAACATCATATAGCTAGAATTGTGAAATAGCTCCTCCAACCTTTATAAGCACATACATTCTATAAGGATTTTTTCTATAGCCAATATTTCTATAGTGCAATTTTATTAAAAGTTTTTATTAGATATTCTTTAGGGGTAGGCCAAATTTAATTTTATTTTCTACTTTACATCGCACCTCCACAAAACTCATTGAGCTCTTTGAAAAAATTGTTTCGTGTGAACTATAAACTATCAAGTAATCCTTCCTCCTCTTCATTATCCACCAAAACTGAAGGAATTTTTTTCAAAAATTATTTTTTAGCAATTTTCTTTAGAGGCTTGCCACATTATGGGAGCTACTCTCAACCCTATTCTATTTTAACCATCACCGAAGTAAAACTTAATTTGATATTACATTATGATTGCAGGCTTATTTAGTTGGATTAATAATTATAAATGAATTTGAGTTCTCAGTTTAATATTATATAATATCATCTATAGTTTGTGCTAGAAATATGATTTGGCCAAAGGGAAGGCAAGATTAGCTCAAATTGGGCTACTTTGGGTTGATTTGAAAGGTCACTTTAGGGAATAGATTATGAATGTTGTAACTAGCTAAAAGTTATAATAAATAGATAGCTTATGATCTTAACTTATTGATTGGTGTAGATGATAAGAAGTTGAGATTGTTAGAGGGGTTTAATACAGAGAAGATAAAGATCTACCCATATTTGTTTAAGGCCTCGTATGGGCAATAAAGCGAAATAGATCAGAGAAGCATGTGAGTTTTTTTTTTCGATTTTTTTTCTTAATATAAAACTCATAGATATTTCCCAAACAAAAAAGACGAAATTTTACACGATGAATTTGAAATTTTAATAATAAACCTCATCTTAAATTATTTCTCTTTGATAGGATTCTATGATGGGCCTTAATTGATTTTTTACTTATACTTTCTTGTGCTCTTATACTTGCTTGATCCACATGATGTAATATATTACTGGTCTCATCCTCCACATAAAGCTTGGTTGAAAAATTTGCCAAAATAATTGAGGCGAATCAAATTATAGGCAGAATTGAATAGACCAAATTATAGGAAAAATTGATGTAATATGTACTGGTTTATTTGATTCAATTTTATTTTGACAAAACAAGTAAATATTTGATTTCAACAATGCCAAGGCCAAAATCAAAATGCCCTACACACATAATTAATTGAAATCAAATATCCATTATTTGCATACAATTTTGACTACAAATTTGATAAAACAAAATTTAATAATGAAAATTTTAATTTACATATTTAAGCATTATTGAGATTGCATTTGTGCCTAATTATCTAAACTTTTTTTTTTTTAACATATTAACATTCCCTACATTCTTTTCATTGAGGAAAAAAATTGTTGCATCAGGAGTCCTGATGCAGAATTGTATCAACACTGTAATGAAATTATGTCACATCACAAGACTCATAAGAAAATCTATACTTTAATGCATGACACTGCTTAACACGTGGTCGTCATGCTTAACACGTGGCGCAAAAATTTTAATCTAACCACTCGTGACAATGATCAGAAATGTGGTAACTGCTACAGGACCACTAAGAGAGATGAAAATATCAATAATTGGAGCAGCAGTTATTTCCTTCAATCAATTTTCCATTATAGACTAATTATTATACTTTCTAACCAATAAAATAATACCTTCTCACTAGAACCGTTCCAAAATTTAAAAAAAAAAAATTAAAAAATATTTTAATCACAAAGCCCAACTCCCCCATTCAACATCTCAGCCGTCCATCTGGAATACGATTGCAGCGTTGAAATAATAGTAGTTAATGATAAACTGTAACTCATAAACTGACCCTCACACGTGCGGACTTGTGGTGCCTAAGTTTAGGATTTAATTTATATAAAAAGTATTCTACCATGGTCAGGCCATGAGACTTTTTTGACCAGATTTACCATAGCTTATGCTTTTCTAATATTTAATTCACAACTTTGTAAAAGCTGTTTAATGACTTACAATTTTGCTTATTTGGTTCATATATTAAATTTTTATTTATAGACAAATATTATATTTTTAAAATTTTTATCATCCCTTTAAATATAGCATTTTGATCATCTAAATTTAAAATTTATTTTTCAATCACTCTAAATTTTATTTATTTTTTAAAATGGAGTGACTATTATATGTGGAGTGACTATTATATGTAAAATTTTAAGTGATTTTTGAGTATTTGAAATATAAAATTTTAAATTTAAATAGCCAATATATTTATAAAAAAAATCTTATATCTTTAGTTATGTGCATCAGAAATAGAAAAAGAAATTACATCAGGATACCACACGTAGAGTTACGTGTGGAGTCTAATGAAATCACGCCACACACGTGAATGTGAGAGAAAAAATCGATCTGGTAACACAAGGAAAAATTCCTGTCATGTTGTTCAAGTGTTATTGTGTGTTATTCAAGTGTTATTGATGTGTTATTGTATTATTATAACACGAAGAATATTTCCTGAACACAATAACACATGAATAACATACAATAACGCATGAATAACACGGGGAAAATATTCTCCTGTGTTACCAGACCTTCACGTGTGGCATGATTTTATTGGACTCCGCACGTAACTCTACGTGCAGAGCCCTGATGTAATATTTTTTCTTAGAAATATCATAATTTTTATTCAAAAGAAAAATAGCTTAGTTTTTATTTACGTTTCCTCATATAGTTCTTTTGTAGTAATGGTTATTTTATTTAAAAAAGGACCATCAAATTAATAATTTGGCGGTTTTAATGTATTATGCATTTATTTATTTTTATTAATTTCATATTTATTGGGGGTAATTAATTTTGAAAGACTAATTATTACTAATTTTTAATATTTTTTTCGTTTATTCTTCCTCCCTCAATTCTGGCTCTCCTGCTTTTAAAAAGGCGCGAGGATTCGGTAACGGAATCGAAAGCCAGAGCGAGAGTATTCTAGGTTTCCTGCTTCTCGATCAACTCTTTCTCTCTCTTTCTTGATTTCACAGTCTCAGTGTCTCTCATGGATGAATCCGATGCACAGATCACCGATGGGTTCCCCGTCGGGATGAGCGTGCTCGCCGTCGATGACGATTCCGTTGTTCTTCGGACGCTCGAGCTGCTGCTCCTCAAGTGCAGGTACAAAGGTTTGGATTCTCTCTGCTGCTGATCGCCGTTTATTGTGGATTGTATTTGCTTTTAAGGTTTATCATTGGCTTATCCGTGGTTTATGGATGCGTATTATCCGGTTTTTGGGGTTATAACGCCTTTCTTCGGCACCGTTTTTTTGCTGGTTGAAGATATTCTCCTTCAAGAAGGAGTTGTTGCTAGTTTTGGTTCGTAAAAAAGAGAGCTTTTAGTAAGTGCAGGAAGAAATCACATTTAAAAATTTAGTCAAATATTTGATCTTCGAGGAATCATGGATGTAAGTGAATCTCATTTAATCGTGGTAAGATCTATGTAATGTGTTTGTAATCTCTACTTTATTTTTTTTTTGTCTCATTTTCATTTGATTTTTGCCCTAATTTGTATCACTATCCTAATAAGTGGCAATTGTGCTTTAGTTAACTAAGCCTTCTGATTGAAGCTTGAAAGACTGGAAGATCAAAATGTACATCATCTTATATTTCAAAGACTGACCAGAAGAGCAGATCTTGAAACTGGGGAGCAATAAATGAAAAGAGCACAAAATTTTGCCATAACAGCAAACAATTAAATCATAATAATAGCGAGTTTTAAAATCATGCGAGTAATGGTGTTGTAGCAAGCCTGACCTCATAATGAAAAAAATGCATGAAGTAGCATAGATAAGGTTAAAGGCCAAACAAAGAGAGACAAATATTGCCATTGAAGACATTAGGATGTACAACTAAGAGTCCAATTAAGACATGGATATTTGATTTATGGGCATCATTTTATCCTTATTCTAATAAAGATCTAATGTCAAATTAGTATGCATGCATATACGGCAAATTTTTTCTTGCTGATGATGAACCCTTTAATAAGTGGTTATTATAATATGATAATTAAAACAATAATTGAAAATACCTGGAAGTTTAACAATGTCAATCATTTTGCGTGTTTAAGGAGTAACCTTATCTCTATCGAACAACTAGTTGCAGAAGGATGCCATTCTACTTAATTATAATGTTAATATTTGGAAAGTGATGAAAGGTGATTGGGTGATTGCTAATGAAAACAAGATAGGTACTCAACAGAGCCATCCACATAGCATAATGGTGTAATTAATATTGTTGCACACTCTTGCTCCACAACACCACTGCAGCCTGTACCATAACAAATTTGGAGAGCCCAATTTAGGGCTGTAAAAATGACTCATTGTTCGCGAATAGTTCATGTTCGGCTCGTTAAGAAGCTCGTGTTCGATTCGTTTGCTAATCTAACGAGCGGAACACGAATAATTTTCTTGCGCTCGATAAATAAACGAGCCGAATACGAACAAATATTTTTTCGTAGTGTTCGACTATATATATTTATGAGTAGTTTTTATAAAAAAAATTTATATGACTATAAGGCTACAAAGATTTATTATCAGTTAAAATTATCAATTTAAAATATACAATACTAATATATTAAATTATATTTAAATGATGATTTAATATAAATAATATGACTTAAATCTTGCCCCAACCCTTGAAATCCTACGGCTGTGTGACAAGGGTTGTCAAAACTATTTTTTGTTTGCGAACAACTCGTGTTCGGCTCGCTAAGCTAACGAGCCGAACATGAATGCATTTTTTGTTTGAAATATAAATGAGTCGAACACAAATAGTTGTATTTTTTAACAAGCCGAACACGAGCTGTGCTCGGGCTTGCTCTTGTTCGGCTCATTTACACCCTTAGTCCAATTATAATTGATCGTTCCTAGCCGCTCAGTTTATAACCACTCAAATCTACCCTGCCTTTTATCATTACTTACTGTACCTAAAGCAGGCGCAAGAAAGAAAAACCCGTGAATTCCTTTTTGCTCTTCTCTAGTTTCTCAGCATTCTTCATAGTATCAAAGCATCCATAGCCTCATGGCATCTCCTCTCCTTTGACTGACATGGCATCTTCTTCCTCCAATGCTTCATCCGGTGACCACCCTACAAATCAACAAACTACTTTGTCGAGGGACAATCTGATCCCCCAATTGAAGTTCCTTTTGAGCAATATTCGAAGCCTCTTCTCCATTCAACTCGCCGCCAACAACCACCTGACCTGGAAGACACATGTACTCAAACTATTTCGAGCAAATAGAAATGATAGCTTCCTTGATGGCACCTGCCCTTGCCAGACGGAATCTACATTCCTCACTTAATCTCGATTTCACCAAATGGATGCTAATAGACCAAAACCTAGTAGCAGCTCTCTTCTTCGTTATCTCCCCATCAATTTTACCATATGTCCTACCTCTGGACACTTGCCATGATGTTTGGACGATGATTGAATTCCGTTTGTTTCGCGATAACAATTCCTACCCAACCCCTAAAGCACTTGTCACCTCAAGCACCATCTCAACTAATGCAAATGGTATCTTGATAGTGGTGCCACCGAGATCTTACCGCTGAACCGAACCAACTCATAAATGATCAAGAGTACCACAGAGATAATAACATTAAAGTTGGAAACGGCTAACAATTACCTATTGCACAAGTTGGTCAAGGGATCCTGCCCACCCCTTTGACTAAGCTTCACCTACCCCAATTACACCACATCCACAATTTAGCTCATAATCTCTTCTTTGTTCATAAACTAACCAATGCTAACTCTTGCTCCATTAGTTTCACCTCCGATGGCTATCGCATCATGGATCTAAAGATCAATCGCATCATCCTTAAAGGCCCCTGCGTCGGCGGACTCTACCTTATCGCCTCTCCAATCATTAAGTGACCATCAACATCTCTTGCACTCATTTCAGTGCAACATATCCAGTAATTTTGGCACTAACGATTTGGACATCCATCACCTCAATCGCAATCAACAATCAGCAATCACCATCATGAAGAAGACTCTTTATGCATTCCCTCTAATTATTTACATCGTCATTCCAACAAAGTAGCTAAGAGTCACAAACTACCATTTCATGTATTTACTACTAAATCCTCTTTTACTTTACAACTTTTTCATAACAATGTATGGGGACCTCCCCCCACCTTATCTGTACAAGGTTACAAATATTACTTGGTTTTTGTTGATGACTACTCTCGATACACTTGGGTTTACCTTTTTCACAACAAAAATGACAACTACAAAATTTATAGAATTCCAAGTAATGGAAACCATTTTCCTTTCAAAATAAAACATCTCTGCGTTAATGGCGGTGACAATATCTCAATAATGTTCTACAAACTCATCTCAAAAGAACCAGTGTCATTCACCAATACACTTGCCCCTACACTGTCGAACAAAATGGCGTCGTCGAGCGCAAACATTATCATCCCATCTAGGCTGTTTGCACCCTCATGACTACTGCTTCTCTCCATCCTCATCTATGGGCTGACACATTACTCACCACTATTTATCTCATCAACCACATACCTTCCACTACCACAAACAATAAATCACCTATGAATTACTTTATTGTCGCCCACCATCCTACAATCACCTCAAAATATTTGACTGCCTCTGCTACCCCTAGCTTTGTCCGTACGTCAAACAAAAACTTGCTCCCCTTATCTACTCCATGCATTTTTCTAGGCTACATCACCTCTCAAAAAGGATATCGCTGTCTCAATCCCATCATCAATCGAATCTATACATCTTGCCATGTTCTCTTCAATGAACAAATATTTCCATTTCGCGAAACCACCACCAATCCAATGCAATCAATGTCACCAACACCTATTCTTCCAGTGCTTCTACTCATTCTCATTTCCACCTTAACAAATCCATCCTCTCATACCACTCCCCAACTGTTGAAACTAACTCTACCCACTCCCCATTAAATTCCCCCTCTTACTATCTCCCCATCGAACCCACCAACATAAACATCACCACCTTCGCCCACACCACCCCGAGCTCAATCCTCTGATCCCATGCAAACTATCCTCAAAATTGGCTCCTTACGACCTCGTCAAATTATCAAGCTCATCCATCAATCCCAACCCGAACCGACATGCTACTTCTCCACCTTCAAATAATCTCACTAGCAGGAAGCCATGTCTACCGAATTCCAAGCTCTATAATCCCAAGGCACGTGGCCCAAGGGTTCGAGCAATAACATGGTCTTGATTCAACTTAAACATTCAGCCTCGTCGCCAAATTACTAACCATTTGTGTTCTCATCACCCTCGCTTTTCATCACAATTGACAAATTCTCCAATTCGATTTCTCTAATGCCTTTCTCCACGATCAACTAACAGAAACCATTCACATGTCCCAACCTGAAGGCTTTGTCGATGCAACTTATTTGCATCACGTTTTTCTTCTAAAAAAGCTCTATACGGACTGCTGACAGCGGATCCGAAACAATCAAGCGACGTACCTTAGAGTCTTTGGATCTTTAGCACATATTGTTTGTTGCTCGTGATACAAAAACTCAAATTGCTTGGCAATGCTTGTTTGAGTATCACGACCAACAAATGGATCACTCTTCTAATGAGTAAGACAAACCATCAAGGCGAATGGACAAGCATACAAACATACAAAAGACTCACATTGTGATTGTTCGACCGAAGCATGAAGCAATCGTAACGGGCGCCAAAATGCGAAGTATGTCTAACGCAAATGAATGCAAAGATACATATATACATCATGAAACACACAAACGAGATGTAACGATAAAACATGCTACATATGGAAAATAATTACGCATGTTGGAGGACCTGGGGCGTCATGCGACACGCAAACACTAGCTACGGATGTGCTTGCATTGAGTAAAATGATGCATATGAAAATGATTTACTCCTTACTTGAGAGACGCTCACCTAGCACACATGCAAACATGCAAAAATATGTAATAGACATATGAGAAATGTCGAGCATATAACATGCAGAAATGTCAAGCATATGACATACAAATGACAAGCATAAAGAAAGCAGACTAACGGTCTGTTTGGGGTAGTTGCAGCTTGTTGAATAATTTGTTGCTAAACTGATTAAAAATAATATGCTGATAAGCTAGGTGCAGTGACTATTACAAATTTTTATTTTTTTTTGGAAAAGCGAGACCGCAACAAGAAAGTTGTCATAGGTGCAGCGTGAAAAAGTTGTTTTTCAGCATTTTGAAAACACATAAGCTGCTAAAACACAGTTTACCCAAATAAACTTGGTGCGTTTTCAAAACGCCACCGCACCAAATAAGCTGCCTCAAACGAACCCTAAGTGATGTGATCTTTACAAGTGAGAATCACACACCTTGGTGGACACGCATTGTGCCTTGCACGAGTTCAGTTGATAAGAAGCGTAACTCATGTTTAACATAATGTGAAATACCCATGAAACTCTGAGTGGTGTCGTAGGGAGCGAGTTGGGTGGCTTATGCAAGCCGCCTCCTTGCAATGTGTGCAAGTTTATCTCTGTGCATACGGTGAAGTATGTTGGAGAAAACACCTACAAGTATGAGTGTTCAATAAGAAACCTCAAAACATGTCAAACGCAAAGCATAAAGAGCAAATATATTTTCACATGCGATGGAATATATAATAGACATAAAGTCAAAGGATTTTCATGCACATGCAAGTGGACATGCAAATATGCAAGAAACACATACACACATGCAATTGGTCGGTCGACCGGACTGTGGAGGCCAGTCGATCTAAATGGGCGGGGTGATCGATTCAGGACGATCGATTGGGCCCAGAAGATCGGTAACCAGCCTAGTACGGTCGATCGGACCCAAAGTTGGCAATCGATGTGAGACGGTCAATCAAACCCAAAAGATAGGGTAATCAACGTGAGACAGTCGATCGCACCCAAAGTGGGTGGTCAGTCGATCAAACCCAAAGTTGGTGGTGGACAAGGGACGGTCAATTGAACCCGAAAGAGTTAGTGATTACCCGGGACGACTGATCGAACACGAAGAATCGGGTGATTGGCTCGGGATGGCCGATCAAACCCAAAGTGGGCGATCAACACTGGGCGGTCGATCAATCCCGTTGACCGGCCCGAGATGGCCGATCGAACCTGAAGGATCGGGTGATCAGCCCGGGATAGTCGATCGAACCCAAAGTAGTTGATCGACATTAGGCGGTCGATCAAACCCGAAAAGCGGGTGATCGGCCTGGGATGACTGATCGAACCCAAAGTGGGTGATCGACACAGAGCGGTCGATCGAATCCGAAGAGCGGGAGATTGACCCAGGATGACCCATCAAATCCAAAGGACCGGTTGATCAACACAAGATGGTTGATCGAACCCAAAGTAGGTGAATTCCATGCTACGATAAAAGATTTTAAAAAAACTATATTATTTTATTATTTTATGTAAATGTCATGCTAATTCTAGGAGTTGACATTAAACCAACATGAATTTGAGATGAGAATAGAGAATAACAAGTTCATAGGTACCTTATGTCTTTCATAATCATGATACACAGAAAAAGCATTGGACATATTCAGTATTATAAAAGCAAAGACTATGAGTATTTCACTCATTAGCTATTTTAAATTATCTAAGTTACAAATGCCAAAAATTAAAGTGAAAAAATTGCATATTTTCAAAGTCCATGCTATAGAGGTTTTTATTTATTATTATTATTATTATTATTTTCACACAAACCCCCAAATGCACACACACTACATTTGTAAGGTTTTAAACCCAGGATCTCTTGATTGAAAGATCAAGCTTTCAACCTCTAGGCCAATGTGGGTTGCTATAGAAGTTCAATCTCTTATGTCTGCAATTATATGCGCATGGCCAGATTTTGCACAAGTAGTGAAAATAGTCAAATGTTACATATTCAATCCAGAAAAAAAACTATTGAATAGTTATGGAGTGGATGTTGTGCTACCTAAAAGATCTAATCAAATTTTCTTCGAAGTTTAAAATAACTGATTTAAAATTACAAGGTGATATTGATTCAGATTTATGTTGAGACTCAGATATAAGGAGAAGTGTCATAGCGTACATCTAAACCTTAAATAACACCACTATTAGTTGAATGTCATAATTTTAAAAGATAATCATACTACCAACTGTAAAAGCTGAATACGTAGTCATTAAAGCTAGCAATGAGATTGTTTAGCTTAAAAATTTACTCCAAAAAATAGATAGGTTAGAAGAAGAATTCACGTTCTTTTTTGAAAGTCAATTAATCATTTATTTGACAAAGAATGTAGTTTTGTATATATATATTTTTTTTTTACTCTGGATGAAATTCATGCAAATTAAATTCCATTGCTCATGTAGTTTGCTTGAAGGCGGCCCTTTACATCTCTTTAAGATCAAAGGGGTATAAAATCCCACTGATATGCCCACAAAAGTGGCACCTGCTGAAAAGCTGAGACTTCGCAAAGTTGGATTTCTTCTCACCATATAATTTGGTATGACATCTATGTATACTTTGCCTTAGCACTAGCGGCATTATGGCCATAAAGAAAAAGCCTTCAATTGAAAAAAGAAAAGCAAAAACATCCTACTAAAATATGATACACAATTAAGTGTAGATAATTTTAAGATAATAGCTAAATACATTGGTAGTTCTTTTTATCCTTGGAAGAGATAGATGTTTCTTCTTATACTGTGTCATCCTTGCACAGCGGCTGTGCTAATCTTTCTTGTCCAAATTTATTAGATGTTTCCGAGGAGATAGATGTTTCCTTTTATACTTGGAATATTACTATTTTTTGACTTCTCCAAGATTTAATTTAATCATTCAAGTTTATGAAGATAAAAGCATCTTGCTCTCACAAAGAAACCACATTTTTCAACATTTGCATTGGTGTATATAAAAGGAGAGATACGCAAGAAGATGCTACACACACAGACACACACACACACACACACATGCATACTGTTTTTCCTATTTGCACTATTGCATACTTTAATTAGCTTATAATACATTATTATTTATTAAGAAAGCTTTTAGTTACACCAGCTGTCCTATGTTAAGGGGGACCATATATATGTATGGTATTGATACGTTTACGAGGTAGAGAAGTATTATTCCCAAATTATCTCCAGAGTCTGACCTTCTGTACCTTTTTGAGCTTTTTTCTTGCAGGTTTCCACACCATAACACGTTTCTGAAAGGAAAATGATTTGTTGTTTTGACGCACAATTTTTTTCTTTTCTGGTGTCATCTGTTGAATGCTTATATTTATTAGCTATTGTTTCTGTTTGTTTCTTTCAATATGAATCTTTCCTTTATTATGTATTATATAGTATATATATTACCCAGTTTTAATAATAATTAGCAAATATTTTGTAGTCACTGTATCTCATAATGCGTTTGAAGCTTTGGACTTACTAAGAGCGAACAAAGATGATTATGATCTTGTGATTAGTGATGTTAACATGCCGGACATGGACGGGTTTAAGCTTTTGGAGATAGTGGGCCTTGAGATGGACTTGCCTGTTATTAGTATGTGAACAATCTTTCACGTAAAAACTTTCTCAGCCTCATTCTTCATTACTTTTTTTCTTAATACGCTCAAATTTATACAGTGCTCTCTGTTGACTGCGATGTCAAGAATGTTATGAAAGGAATAATGCATGGTGCAGTGGACTATCTTGCCAAGCCTGTGAGGCTTGAGGAGCTGAAGCTTATCTGGAAACATGTGGTTCGGAGATCACTTAATGAAAAAAAGGATCAAAATGTTACTAATAAACAACTCGGTCATGCAACTAAGTCAGAAGAAGATCAAAAATTGCGCCACACAAAAAAATGCAAGGGTCATAATAAGGAAAGTGATAATGAGGTTTGTGCAGACTCCGATGAAGACATGAATCCACAAAAGAAACCAAGAGTTACTTGGTCACCAGAATTGCATGTCAAATTTATAAATATTGTAAACCAATTGGGCATAAGCAGTAAGTGTACACACTTTTCATCACTCCGGATTATCTTTTTCATTATCTTAAAACCAGGATCACTTGTATTCTTAGGGGCAGCTCCAAAGAAGATTCTTGATATGTTGAACATCTCGGGACTCACCCGAGAGAATGTGGCTAGTCATTTACAGGTTTGCTCATGATGCAGCCATATGTGGCCTTCATTGATTGTCAAATAGCTCATATTCAAATTTGTTAGTGAGCTTTAACCTGCTAGTTAACTTGTTCTTGTTCTTTTTCATTTTTGTATAAACTTTTTAACAGAAATATAGGAAAGGCTTGAAGAAGAATGCAAGTGAGCGTAGCCAGCAGTTTTTCAAAAATTCCAGAACAAGTCCTTATAGCGGAAGCTTCCTTTCAATGACGGCTAGCCAACAAAGAACAGCTTTCTGTTCTGTCGACAGATCCCGCTCAAATTTATACAAAAATATATCTTTAGCATCCTCACACCATCCTGCTCAGCAATCTTGTAACGGCTACTCGCAAGTGCAATCAACATACTTCTCTCATTCTCCGACCCAGCAAAATAATTTCTGCCAACAATATATAATGAATCCCCATGCAGGCCAAGCTGAAACTCAACACCTAACCCTCACAAAAAACTCTAATTTGATGAAGGCATCAACTCAAGTTTTAAGTTATCAGTCTTTTGCTCCAAGATCAAGTCCCCTTGACTGTAATGCACAGAGTTTTTCTCAGAATTCAGATTACCAGATAGGGCATGCTCTGGACCATCAAACAGTTGATATGTTAGTCAGCAATAACCTATTGGATAACTACCCTATTGAACTAGATGCAGTACAACCATGTAAGTAATTGGAGACTAGAATTATACTTTAAATCGTAGTTTTTGTTGTTGATTTACTTAGAAAAAATGTAGGGGCATTTACATACATGCACACAATTCTTATCTATTTACAGATCTCAAACCTAAACTTTTGTATTTGTACACATAGCACACAAATCCTTAATATCACATCAAAGGTAGCACTATTACAACTTCTTAAATGTGAAATACATCTTTTCATGCATAGGTTTAAAGCACCAAGTGCTATGTATCTCAATATGAAAGTTTTGGTGTGAGATATGTGAATATATAAGAATTGTGTGCTATGTATATAAATATTCCAAAAAAGTAATGTTACGATGTATTGTGTTGTTTCCTAGATCTTAGTTTTGAGAAATGTGTATATGAAAGTCAGGAGACTTGTAGAAATCTCCCATTTGATTAACTTATGATCGGTGACCATGATTCCATGCAGCGGAACAGGAGCTGCAGCAGTTTAGTTCTTGCCTGGAGGCGAATGTTGAAATGGGAGCAGATTTCAACTGTGATTCACCGGGTATTCAAAGTTGTGACCATGAAGATTACATGGGAAGCGGACCTTTTAATTTTACAGTCGGTCCTGTAGAACAATTTTTAGATGAAATAGCATTTGCATTTAACAAGGTTGAACACACAGATGATCTACATGCAGCACTCAAGCAGGTAAATTACTTTACTCTTCTCAAATAATGATTCTGGTTTAACTAAAAAATCATGCGTTTTATAAATTTTCCGTTGTATAAATCAACTTATGACAGCCATATGCATTATGTAATGTCAATACTCTGGTTTTCTAGTATTATATAAGGAAATGCATATTGGGAATGCTTATGTTCTATACTGTGTTTTCTGTAATTTTCCTCAACTAAATTATGGATTTTAAGCATCTTACTCCTCATTGCAGCAACTCCAAGTTATTTATAAATTTTTGGTGTTCGTTAAACGAATTTATTTCAAACTTTAGCTTTTAAAATTCTAATGCTAGTTTTGGGTTTTATGTAATTGTAATCCTCATGTTAACTATTTGTTAGGTATGACTCATATACCATAAATGGGACAGATGCTGGAGCGGAGCAGAGCCCACGAGCGGAGTGGAGCGGAAGGATCTGTCCAATCGGGGGGGTTTCATTATGTGGGTTGGGGGTGCGGGGGCAACATCCCGCGATTTGGTACAGGGGTGATTTAAATAATTACATATTGTACTATACGATTATATATATGTGCGGTTTGTAACCCTAAGTGAGTTTCTGAGACTCTGAGATTCTGAGTAGAATCTTGTATTCTGTACTCTTTTCTGAATATTGAAAAGGAAGTTGTCGCTCTTCTTGTGTCGCTCTTCTTCCGAGGATGTAGGCATCTTTGCTGAACCTCGTAAATCTTTGTGTCTTCTTCTGGATTTGTGTCGATTCCTAGTTTTTCTTCACCCTAAATTTCTCAACAAGGGGTATCAGAACGAGGTTCTAGGGCAGAGAAGAAAAATTTCGGCGGCGCAGGAACAAAGATGATTTTGGCCGAGGAATTCGGCGGCTAGGGATTTGGATGGTTTAGCAGAGGAATCGCTCTTCGGCAGTTTGCAGCTTCTGCAGTGCCGAGGGGTCTGCGAGCAGAAGATTCGTGCGACGGTTTGCCTGTGCAGTTCAGCGAGCAGGAGAGTCTCGAGGACGAAGGATTCGCGCGACGCAGTGAACAACGACCATTTGAGTGACAAGTTCACGACCAGAGCAGGCGAGCGGCGGAGGAGCATAATTGGAAGGGTGGACTCGAAAATGAAAATTTGTGGGAAAGGAAATTCAACGCTGAGATATTCTGGAGATATTCCAGGACGTGGAAAATGGGGAATCAGTTGTTGCACTCAGAAAAGGAAAGCTGGAGGCTGCCTGATTGGAAGGAAATCGATATTCGCCCTTTTGTGATATTTCAGGTTCCAGAATTGCAGGAGATTTTTTGGAAGACGGAGCTTTTCTAGAAGGAGCTTTTTTGGATGGAAAAATGAGATTTTTAGGAAAGCGGATGCAGAGCTTTTCTGGAAGGAAAGGGGAGCTCTTCTCGGAAGTTATCTCGGAAGTTAAGAAAAAGGATTTCTGGGAAAATTTAATTAAGAGGAAATTCTTTTTCTGAGAAACTTAATTAAGAGAAATACTTATTTAAGGGAATATTTCAATTCTATTTTGGAAAGATTTTGTTGCTTTTCTGGGAAAATTAATTAAGGAATCATTAATTAAGAGAAACTTAATTAAGAGAATCTTAATTAAGGGATTATTTAAAAAAAGATTTGTGGCCCAGCCCACATTGTTGCATAAGAAACTCCATGATGTATTTTCTCCTAAGCGGCTGGATATTCACCAAGGTGGAGATTTGTTATGCATATGTATTTCTCCTAAGGGGCTGAATATTTGCCAATGTGAAGATTTGTTAGGTTTATGTATTTCTCCTAAGGGGCTGGATATTCGACAATGTGAAGATTTGTTGGTATATGTATTTCTCCTAAGTGGTCGGATATTCGCCAAGGTGGAGATTTGTTGGGTATATGTATTTATCCTAAGGGGCTGGATATTCGTCAATGTGGAGATTAGTTAGCTATACTATAGGGTTATATATATGTCTTTGTAACTGTAGATGAGTCTCTGAGCCTCTGAGATTCTGAGTTGAATCTTAATTATGTGGGTTGGGGGTGCGGGGGTAACACCCCGCGGTTTGGTACAGAGATAATTTAACTAATTACATATTATACTATAGGGTTATATATATGTCTTTGTAACTGTAGATGAGTCTCTGAGCCTCTGAGATTCTGAGTTGAATCTTAATTATGTGGGTTGGGGGTGCGGGGGTAACACCCCGCGGTTTGGTACAGAGATAATTTAACTAATTACATATTATACTATAGGGTTATATATATGTCTTTGTAACTGTAGATGAGTCTCTGAGCCTCTGAGATTCTGAGTTGAATCTTTTATTCTGTATTATTTTCTTAATATTGAAAAGGAAGTTGCCGCTCTGCTCCCGAGAATGTAGGCATCTTTGTCGAACCTCGTAAATCTCTGTGTTCTTCTGGATTTGTGTTGATTCCTATTTTTCTTCACCCTAAATTTCTCAACACTATTTGTGTGCCAACTTAAGGTTGGATAAACAATTTATGTCAAGCTGATATATGGATGATGAACTTCCCGATAATTATATAATTAAATCATGCCGTCAAATCTGAACTGACATACATCTCAATTTTCTAATGATTGGTTTCTACTGTAATTAACTTTTGTACAAGGGGCAAGTTGAATGGATTATTCTTTTTTGTCTTTTTTATTACCAATTTAGCTCACATAAGTGTGAATGATACCGAACATAGATGGATCCCCCGAGAGAGGAGATCTACGTTAGACAACAGCTGAAGAGCCTTGTAATTTCAATTCATGAATCTACTGATCCAAATTATAAGCCCATAAACCCTATTTATAAAAATTGGTTTAGAAATATAAAGCTAAAATCAAATCTAATACTAATTCATTTTCAAATCTAAAGTTTATTCAAAAAAATAAATTCTTCTTATTTCATAATAGATTAGATTTATAAATCATAACAAACTGAAATAAATTCTAAATATTAGACAATAATCTGTTTCTAACTTGTTATGTTTCAGTTTCGGCGTTAGAATATTTGCAAGGAGGCTCTCGAGGGAATTGTATCAGTGGAGGTGAATTTTTCTGCTCTTTTATTTTTTCTGTCAAGATGCGATGATGACTGCTTGTGCTCGACAAGCCTAAATTGCTCTAACGGTAAGTTTTGTCTTTTGTTTATATGAATTTTGATTCTGAATGCTAACTGTGAATTATTTTTACTTTTTCATCATAAACTTTTCATCTTATGTTGTAACAGGTAAATGCTCCTCCAATTTTGCTGATTTATGTCCTGTTGATGATCTCAGCTTGTGGATTACTCCTTTGGATCATTAGTTTCAGAGATTTTGTCAAATGAATTGTTAGTATTAAGGTTTGACTTCAAACTCTAATTTTCTGTAAAAATTAACTCCGCTGCCTTATTGATTTTTATTTTTTTACCGATTCTATTGTTTTCATATTTTTATTTTTTAAAGTTTATGTTATCATTTAACTTTGTTTACCGGAACCATGTATCTACATCATTTAAAAATTTTTCAGCTATCTGCTTCTTGTTTTGCTTTTACTTTGCTAGTTGTTATGGACTCTGAAAATTTAAAATTGCACCGGACTCTCGTCTAGAGCTTAATTTTTAAGTGATAATCGTGAACATAATATGATGGTGTCATTTGACGGCAAATCACTCGGTCAAAAGACTTTGATTGTAACTGTTTCTTTGTAAATTCATTTGACGACAAAATTGCTTGAACAAATGACTTGGGTTATATCCTTAGCTTCAAATTATTTTGAATTTGAATTTAGTAGCATGTTTGATATGACAATGACTCTTCGCGACCTTCAGTCAACAATACATTTATTTATCTCGACTATCAGTTAGGGAGGGTTGATAGATTTTACTTTGAGCTTTTAAGTGATTAATTTTCCCTTAAACAATTTTTATTTTATTTGCTACTTGTTAAATTATTAGGTTTTGGAATATTCCACAACGCATAAACTTTCCAATGTAATCCAATATATTTATATATAAGTAAGATAAGTTGTGGTGTTTTGTAATTAATAAGCTAAAATAATGAAGAAAATGTTATAATTTAGGTAACCTAAATTTAGTAAAATAAATATTAAATATTTGATAACCAATTTATAATAATTATTATCAATCAATATTATTATAAGCTAAAATAATACCTAATAAGATATGCATGTTAAAGTAGGGGTGTGCGAATAAATTTGATCGATTTGGTTTGATTTGAAAAATATTTTTTTGGTTTTTAAAACCTCATATTAGGTTTTCAGCTAATGGTTTGATTTCAACTTTCACTCATCTAAACAAACTAAAAATCTGAAAATTCAAAATTAAACGGAGGACTCATGAAATTAAATAGATATTTACTGTTCAAATCATATTAAATTTTAGCTCTATTAGTTTGCTTTTATCAAAATTTTGATTGGTTTTTTTGTTTGGGTTTTAGTTGCAATTGATTTGACTAATTTGAGAAGTTTTTAAAAAAAAATGTGATATAGGGCCCGATTGAGATTGTTTATAAGTGCGGGCGACATTTTTAAAATGCTGTATCATCGTTTGGAAAACATGTTTCAGCAGATTATTCGAAAACACGGTTGGATTTTTACACTAAATGCAGACCATGGGTTCGAAACGCCGCCTCACCATTTGGAAAACACGTTTTAACAATTTATCTGAAAACACGGTTGGATTTTTACACTAAACGCAGCTCGCGGGGCGAACCTCGCGGGCCACTTGCAGGTCGAACCCCGTGGGCTTTGTTTCAGGATAAGCACAAACTGCATCAAACACCTTTAATTATTAGAATGAATGCCTCCAGTGTATCATGTGGTAAGAATATGCATCATAAAGGTTTTACCACAATAGAAATTTTGCAATTTTGCGTCGGACAATAGAAATTTTGCAATTTTGCGTCGGACAATATCGAGGCAACTCTAACGATAATTTGATGGATTAGTCAAATTTGTGTCAATTTGCATCAAAATGGCCTCTGACGGTAAAATGGTGGTCGGTAATGTAATTTATATTGAATTCGCGTCGACATAGTTCGACTATAATTTTTACGTTGAACCTATCGTCTCCGAATTATGCCGCAAAATTGTTTCACAAATTACTGTTGGATTTTGCGTCGCCCATATCCGATGCAAACCTATAACACAGGAAAAAAAGATAAAATAACTTTAAGATTCGTATAATTTGCACGCAAACAAAAATAATACTAAATATCACAGTAACAAGCAAAATTATATCACAAATGAATACCAACAATGAAAAATAACATAATTTAACAAATACTGATCTAAATTATCAAAAGTTTACATCTACACCCTCAATGTAGGTTCAAATATTTTAGAAATTAAAAATACATAAGAACTCCTAATCCTTCTCATCATTCTCCTCCTCCCCGACCACAACGCTCACTACTCTTAGTCAAGTGTGTTATACTCCCCTCAATTCTATGTTGGCCTTCATGCATATGGCAGAGCTCCTCAATCATAACAGTGGTTTGTTTGACAAGCTCCTAAGTATCCAAGTGTGATGAGTTGATGCCACCAATAGAAGCACGAGAGATCTCAGCCTCGAATCCTGCCCATCGCACCCAGGTCGTAGACCCTCCCCTTCTTTCTTGCTGCCTGCGTTCATAGCCTGAACTCAAACTAAGTGGCTACCACTACTGCTGGCGGTGCTCAGGGTCTGGGAGGCCAATTGCTTCTCCCGAAGCTGATCGTACTCCTCTTACATAATAAAAATCAATGATTAATTATCATTTTAAACATTAATTCAAAATAAATATAGAAAATCAAATTTTTACTTAAATCCTCCAGGAGTGGTCGGAGACCCCACTGCTGCGTCGCCAAGTGCCTATGAGTTCAGACGTACATCTTTGCAACGAAGGGCTCACTGCTTGAGTATAATGAATAAGAACAAGAAAATTAAATCAACAACAACAACAACAACATACCTTAAGACTATCCTCTAATTTTTTATACAATATGTGATCTTTTTAGGTCAACCTCATCCTTTCTTAACATAATTCGAATCTAAAACATCTATTCTCCTAACTTTATCATCAGATGGACGATGTTTACTGTGATCAGATGGTCGATGTTTATTGTGATCAAATATCTAAGGCGACTCTCTCTAAACTTGTCTGCCACTCAAGCTACACCCTTTCATGGATACATTCATTTCGCATTTTGTCTCTCTGTGTCAAGCCAATCATCAACCAAGCATTTTCATCTCCGCGAAAATTAGCTTAGTTTAATGCTTTTCTTTTAAATGCCAACATTCTATGCCATAAAGTATTGAAGGCCCAATCATCAACCAACATGCTTTTTTTTTAAATGTTATTAGTAGAATTCTTCTTATACAATTTTCCTTTTAAGTCTAAGTTGTAGTTTTCTAACACACAATCACGATGCTTTCCTTCACTTCAACCATCCAACGCGAATTCTACTAATAACATTCTCATCTATATCACCATCACTTTGAACAATAGACTCGAGATATCTAAAACGTTCACTGTTTTTTATGATTTGATCTTTCATTGCCACATAAAAAAATATCATCATTGAAAAATATACCTTCCTCAATGGTTTCTGGTGGGGAGAAATATGGGATTTTTTATAGTCTCTGTAAGTCGTGATATCATTGTTGCCTTCCCAGCTAGCCCTAGTGGCGACTGTATCGTGAAGGTTCGCGAAGGTGAGGGGTTTGAGAGATAATGAAAGGGGAGGGAGATAAGCGAGGGTTTCATCTGAGAGGGGTGAAATCGGGAGAGGGGGAAGCCATAACGAGGGTTTTGGGATTGGGAGAGAAAAATTTTGGCTTGAGGAGCGGGAACCGAATTTCAGGGCATTGGCATCAGATTTACGTTAGATTATTTCGACGCAATTATCCAACCGCAGAGTTTGCGACAAAATTTGCATCGAATTTGTGTCAGAACTAATTTGACGCAATTAAGTACGTGTTTGCGTCAACTTCTTCGACGTAAATTTCGTCACAATCCAACATATCAGTTCGACATTTTTGAATTCAGTATGTGTTCAATTGTTCGATGCAAATCAGACGCAAAATCTGATGTTAATATTTCCATCGGAAAAATTTGACACAAATATCAGACGCTAATTTCAAATCTTTTGTAGCTAATGATAAAATTTATGAAACAGCATTTTGTCTGTTATGTTCTAGGGAAATTTTGTAAGAAAGACATGCAAATAATATATTTAACACTACATTCAACGCTCAATTGAGATTAAAAAAAAAAAGAAAATTCATGACGAAGATGAGCTATCTATTTAATTTTTGAGTAAAAAAAAGGCTATATGAAAAGGGATTTGTTGACCACACATGCACATGAGCCTATTGTCACGCTCCGCCATATTCGAGGAAAGTTAGTCCGTGACACTATGCTCGTCTGGGTGCGACCATGCATCATTGTGTGGATTCGGGTTCTTGCATTGCAAGCACACCAATTATTGTTTCTATCGTTGGACATACTTCCCAGCACCAAATTAATGAAAAAGAATAAAAAAAAAAATCCTATGGTGCAGATATTTTAATGTGATTACATTCCTTAGAGTCACATCAAGAAAAAAATATTATGTGTGCCCTGAGGTTGTACTCGGGTGTGTATTGGGTGTATTTGATTTGTGCTTAGGATGTACACCCCTATTCCTTAAATTTTATGGCTTGGGTTGAACCATTAAGACTTACACACATATTTATTTATTTATTTATTATTATTATCATTATTTTGTTAAAGTAATAGTAACATGAAATTGCGAGTTTTTCTCTATTTTAGTGGGCGACATCAACTTTTTTTTATTTTTAAATTGTAAAAATTGCATTAAATTTTAAGAAAATTTACATAAATAACAAATAATTGTAATGTATTTACATATCTCATACTAAACTCACATTCTCACAGTTACATGCATAATATTTGGTGTTTTAAATCTATGCATAAATATATAAAAATTAGGTTATACACACACACTGTGTGCACGCACGTGCTTGCATGTATGTAATATGTATATGTGTGTATGTATGTTTATGCCCCTAAATTAATGTACAAAATCATTCGTGATTTATGCATCTGCGAGTCCGACAAAAGCCTCTAAACTGGACAGAAATCATTGGATATAGTTATAGATTTTTTCTCAAGGAGTTGAGCCAATAAACAATGTGCGTAATTCCTCTAAATAAAAAAATTATAACAGATTTTGCGATTAACTTTATAATATGTACACATTTAGTTTTGATGATGGCCATACTAAATAATAGACGATAAGAAGCCCTATTCTGATAACATTTTATTCTAGACTTGCATAAATTTTGATACGAGAAAGAACAGTTATGGAGAAAATATTGTATATTTTGTAAGTATAAACTTATATAGGTCATGTCATCATAA